TAAAAAAATAAAAATAAAAATAAAATAAAAAAGAAAAAGCAGGTAATTTCATAGGAATTACCCACTTTGCTCACCCTTACCCAACCCAAACAAACAAATCCAGTACCCTCCTAAGTAAAATTTGTGAACTCCCCGACTCAATTGAGTTATCCGTTCTAATTTTAGCTTAGGAAGTTACCCACTTTGCAAATAAAAAAATACACACCACTTGAGTCATTTTCCACTCAAGAAAGAAGGCCTTTAACTTCTGTACTGTGGCTCTTTATTGTATATGGCTTAGAAGACTTTTGCGAAATTTGGTAACCTTTGGTATCTAATAATTTTACAACAGATATATATATATTTTGAAAAAGTATATTAACTATACGAAAAAGTATGTTTAACCATATGAAAAAATATGTTAACCATACGAAAAAATATGTTAAAATGATAAAAATCATAAAGAAAAAGATGTATTAGCTGATAGTTGTAAAAAAACAGACAATCAAGATAATAATCACAATGAGTCTTGTTGATGATTCTAGAAAATATAATAAGGAGAACAAAATTTTCACCAATATTACCAACATTGGAAGATCAAACAAGCTGGCCTGCTCCCGCCAAAGTTTTAATTAAAGATAAAAAAAAGGAAATGGTTGATTCTTTGGAAAAGAAACAAACTAATGACTCCAATGCCAAAAAAGAAGAGAGTTCTTATAAAAAAGGCAAAGATAAATATATACTGTTGCACCCTTGAGGAATTTAGTTGCCAAAACTTTTTTTTCAACAAATGACAGTTGTTCACGCACGAACAACTTTTTTTTTGTTGCAGAGTTATTGAAATAAAAAAAAAATGTACGAAAAAATAAGTTAAACGTACGAAAAAGTATTTTAACCATGCAAAAAATTAAACGTATGAAAAAAATATAGGATATATATACTTTTTTTTCTGAAAATTGACTCATCTTGTATATTTATTGAGACACGTAGAGTTTTATAGTACGCGTTTGAGGCTGAGTGTGGAAAGATCGTCGATCAGACACAATCATTACATAATATTTATCAATATACCCGTAGACTATATAGACTATCTGAGTTAATTTATTTAATAGACGCGAAAACTGATATTTTTCGCGTTTTCGTGTGTTTGTTTATATAAAAAGTTTGTACAACAAAAAAATATATAAAAAGGCCTTTTCAATTTCAATACGAAAAAAGAAATAAATTTTAAGTTATTTTACGAAAAACTTTTTACGAAAATTTAACTTTATAATTTTTTTACCCAACTTCACACCAACTTCATCCAACTTCACCCAAATGCCACGACATAAGAAATCGTCTAAAGGACATTCTTGGGTAATTTGATAGTTGTTTACAATAAAGGACAGGTTTATCAAAACATAGAATATTTTAATATACAAAAAAGTATTCGTTATTTAATCATGTTGAAATAATAGTACTCTGGAAAACACTACACGAGTTCCATCCCCACCACCCCATCTTCACAGCAATCACAAACTGAAAAAGAACAAGAGCAAAGAACAAGAGCCTGCTGTTGAGAAATCCGAAAAAGAAATTTCGAAGTCCCCAACTCATAAACCTGGTTCTTTAACAGCAAATAACAAAAACCATATCAACTCGTGATCATGTAGTTCAAATAAGTAATGATTCAACGGTTGGAGATGACGAGTCAATTTGGGATGAGGGAGATCAACCTACTACTTCTTATAATATAGCCAGAAAACTTTCTAGTGTCGAAGAAGACGTTTGTTATAAATTAAGAACAGCTAACAAAGGTGATGGAATAGATTATAATGCATTAGAAGAATATACTACAGAAGAAAAAACTTCAGCGAAAAAAGATGAGGGAAATTATCATTTATTGCCTTCGTCTATGATGTTAAGCAGAATAAGGACAGAAGGTATTACGTGGTATGTATAAATTAACAAGTTTGCCGGATGGACGTGAGTAGGTGCGCACTGCAGGGTTCACGCCTCGCATGAGACATGCTTGGTGCATCCAAGGTTACAGCTGAAAGCCTTCCGGATGGTAAACTGTTTGCCGGATGGACGTATGAGTAGGTGCGCACTGCAGGGTTTACGCCTCGCATGAGACATGCTTGGTGCATCCAAGGTTACAGCCGAAAGTCTTCCGGATGGTAAACTGTTATGGTCAGAAATCGTTGATAGTTTGCCACTCCAGTTGTATAGGTTTGGTGAACTATCAATGATGACATATGTATACTGGTAGCTGCAGACACTTATGAATGTTTGTAAATTATAGGTAATGCTGATAACGACGGTGCTTCCCTCAGGTGATAACACAGGGTGCGAAGCCTTCTGTTAATTTTGCTGGACCTTATCATCTGTAATGCAAGCACGGGATTTTCAGATGTTTAAAAATTTGACCGATTTCGTATTTAAATTTTCCAGTGATTCCATATTATTTACAGATCCTAGTATTCATACATCACTTAACTGGTTTACTCCTTGCAACTTACCACTATTGATTTAATTCGGCGTTCCCTTAATCTTGAATTTTTCATAAATGGTGGATGCAATTTTTACCCATCTCACTATGACGATATTGAGGATTTATAACTAGTTATAATTAATAAACGTATACGATATTTGTAAAGTTTAAATCAAATGAACATTTCCAATTTTTTTTCTTTCATGGCATTACCGTATAACGGGGCCATAGTACCCCGGGTATGGATACAGATTTCAGCCTTATATCCCATACCATTGCGTGAGTTTTTATTATTAGTAGATAATGTATAAAATTTTTATAATAATTGTGATAATTGAGTAAGCTGGTGGTAGTAATGCATGGTCGTAGACTCGTAGTATTACCAAAATGCAATGTGATAATATATCAAATTTATTAAAACGAATTACCTTGTGTTATTGAAAACTTCGAAGTAACATATACAGTAACAAATTTGAAAATATTAAGAACAACGATAATTTATCACTATAACTAAGTCTTTCGTCAACAGATAGGTTCTCTTGATATTGGGAAGTCGACCTTCTGTAATATCAACCTGTGAGTTTTAACATAACGACAAATTCTTATAAAAATTTTGGTGTTCTTTTGAATAAACTAATCTTTTCAACAGATAATTATTTTTTTTAATTAATTCGGTTTTCTTAAATCTTGAATTTTTTATAAAGCAACTTTTTAAATAAATTGTGGATTATTTGCCAAATGTATAAATGTATATAAAAGTATTTGTAAATGAAACATTTAATATTTCGTGTTTTTCAAATCATAAAGAGAATCGGACAATTTATATAAATAATATTCAATTTGAAGATACAAATTATAAATTCATCGTCTAAATCATGAATTAAATTGTTTTTGATTCAATGATATTGGGAGAAAAAGTTTTTGGAATATCGGTCACGGAGTCCTTCATTGATTGGTGAAAATGGCAACTACGTAAGCGATATTAGTTATGATAATCAAATCTGTATATTCGTCTTCATATTTTTCATTTAAGCATTTATTGATACAATTACCGTATGTTGTGTTGCTTTTCATTATAACGAGTCCACTTTGCATCCATCCCAAATTTCGCCATGCAGGTATTTGTAAAAACACTAACCGGAAAAACGGTAACCTTGGAGGTAGAGTCGTCTGATACCATCAGCCTAGTTAAATGCAAGATCCAAGACAAGGAAGGAATTCCCCCTGATAGTCAACGTTTTATTTTTGCTGGAAGTCAATTGGAAGATGAGCGTACCTTGAGTGATTATAATATCCAGAAAGAGAGCACAATTTCTCTCATCTTGAAACTACGTGGTGGGATGTTTCAAGAAACTAGTGGCCGCAATGGATTTGCAACACTCACGCAAAATGTGCTAACACCTAAAGAACGTCCACAAAATGGAATTCGTGCGGTAAAAGTGAATGGAAAGGAACAAGGTTGACACTGATGGATCGCTTCTTACTATTTAAATATTCGGAATGTCCTGATTTTATGACTTGTGCTTTGATTGTATTACAATGTCTAACTTGCTTAATGCAGACCCAAAGGAGTCTCCGAAAGGACCTTCTGTTGCCTCCCCAATACTACCAGATACGAAAGAGAAATTATTAGCTCTGTTACGTGAAGAAGAGCGTCAAAGGTTTTCACCTGAAATACAAAAAAAGTATTTTGAAGTTGGGAGTGATCCTACGTGTGCCAAAGATTGGATGGATGTCACTGATCAGATGCAGCATGAGTTGGTTCGAGAGTTTGGATATTCAGATGAGGCAGTACAATTATTGCGGCGTGCACCACAGCTTTATCCGGGTAAAACGTATTTCCATCTCTCTTTCAACTTTTTTTTTACAATATTTAATCTTATGTCTTTTTTCTCATCATCCAGATGATCCTGAATTCCGTACAACGCAAGTGTATGTTCGCAACAATATTGCTAATATTGGAAATCTCACTGAAGGAATGCCGGCACCTGATTGCCCATTGGTTCCTCTAGAACCTTCGATTTTTACAGCAATAATTGATAATGGTAACACTACTTCACCAAATTTAGTTCCTTTACGTTCGCTTTGTAAATCAGGACGACCTCTTGTTCTTCTTGGTGGATCATATACTTGTCCTTTATACCGATACATTTCTCATGTACTCAATGATATATACGTTCGATATAAAACACAAGTAGATTTTTACATGATTCAAATCCGAGAAGCACACGCCTCTGATGTTTGGCCCATTGGTAACATTGTAGATGTTAAGGAGCATCGCACATTGTCTGATCGTTTAGCTGCTGCTCGTGAAATGGTTAAAAAAACCCAGTTAGAAATTCCCGTACTAGCAGATACAATGGATGATACTTTTTTAAAATTGTACTCACCATGGCCATTCCGCTTTTTTGTCATTGCGGATGGTACTTTAAAACTTGTTGGAATGCCAAAAGAAGCACATTACGATACAACAGATCTCGTTAAATGTTTAAATGATCTTTTATGCGACAAAAAGGAATAATATCTTTTTTTTAAGTTTCTAAGGCTATTCAAACTTGTAATATATATTCATATTTATACGCAGTTTTTTTGACTTGTTTTTGTATTTTTTGTATTATATAAGATCTATACATCTAACTATATACAGTATCTGATTTGAAAAATCAACAAAATAATTTTTTAAATAAAGAATTTAGTTAGTTTAAATTATATGTTAATATTATTTAATTATGTAATAATAGAATTAAATAAATAACTAACATATTGAGATAGCTTTAAGCAGACAATACCAACTCGAAGCCTATTATGAACGATTCTATCTATTGAGGATAGCATCTTTGACAATAGGTAAAAGTAATACTACAAATACATCAGTTCTCAATTTTTTCAGTCACGGACCCTAAAAGTCCTGCATGTGACTAACACGTGATCCAAACAAAAAATAGTTATGTAAGTTGTATGAAACAATTTTGTAATTTGCGAATTTATTGAAATTTCATTTAATTATTTTGTAAGCTAAAACTAATTTGGCATAAAATTAATCGACATGAAAGAAATTCTTGTCTTCTGAGAATTCGGATTTCCTGGCTCCTAACTTAATAACCAAGTACGCTTGCCCGATTGGCACCGGATTGTTAGTTCCGGCTACAATACTACCTTGTAGACCTTGGGGCACGTGGAAACCGTTGGGAATAAGATTTCCATTACGAATACCGTCTCGAACAGCATGCAATTCTTGGATATTCCTAAAGTGGAAAATGCAACGACTTTGTTCATCTCTACGTTGAGCATTGTTGAGGTTGTACGTAGCAAATTGGTCCATTGCGTTATTGTAGGCATAGTTATTGATCCATAATTGATTTGGTTTTATTATCAAAATCGGATCTAATTCATCAGTCTTAGAAATTGCTTAACATATCTTTTGACAATGGCGTTTCCTGCTTCCGGAAAGATCGGTTTGATTGTTTCTTTGATGGTCGGATATAACGATAAATCAAGTTCTATAATGAAATATTAGAAATGATTAGAATATTCAAGTATTGATTATTTGAAAAATAGATTTTTACCTTCATTCTCACTTTTTTTGAACATTTGAGTTGTTGAGAAAAAAGAGATCCAAGTTTATTTATTATCATTTTATTAAATTTATTTTATTTTATATTAATTTTTTCGTCGGATCTTAAAATATCAAAATGATCCTCTTAAAAACCAATTTGATTGTAACCCATCCCCTTCATTTTTGAAAAATTTTTAAAAATAAACAAGCTTATGAAATGTCACGTCAATTTGATTGTTTGTTTAACGTACCCCGCCCCCCCTCATTTTTGAAAAATTTTTGAAAAATAAATAAGCTTATGATATGTCACGTGACTTTATAGTAGGCTAAGTAGGCTACATATAATTGTAAAAAAATGTATATTTCTTTTATCAATCTTATTTTTTCAATTATCATTATTATTTTTAAAATGTGGTTCATATTAGCTGTCTACAAAGAAAAGAAATTATTAAATGAAGATGCAGTAGAAATGGTATCTACAGAAACTTTGGTGATTTACTGTTCGAAGTTTTAGACTATGATATATTTGATCAACCAATAGTTGTTCAATTTTACAATGAATTAACGAAAATTGGACCAACGTTAAATATGGTTTAAGTGCAAATTGGTTTGTGTGAAAAGTTTCAACCATGTCAAGTTAGATTTACGTTAAAAGAGCTATGTACCCATTTTGTCAAAGATAATTGGCTGACAAGAGGAAGGATTAATGTAAGAAGTTAGATAAAACAATAAAATCAATTTTATTAATAAATTACTCAATAAATTCTGTTTACAATAATACAAGTTTATATACTTATATCTTGATACTTACTTAATTTGGCCCCCCTCAATTTTTAAAAAAATCTGGACCAAACAAACTATTAAATTTATTAAATTGGAGTGGTCTTATATATAGATAGCGTTAAATTCTTTTATTGTTAAATTAAGGAGAGATTCAGATTTTCGTGATGATTCCAAAATTGATCCTGCAAAAGGATGCCTCGGTTAGTGAATCTTTTATCCACCTCGTGCAAATATAAGCAATAATCAAGCGAAAAATCAAATGAAAATTCTAATAAAATTTAAACCTACCATTATTTTCACTGATATTTACAATCTGTATATTCCGCAAAAGTAATAATAAGGTAGGTTGGTTTGTAGTTCGGATTAGCTTCTTGAAACATGTCATCACGATGTTAATCGATTTTCTCATCTTTTTAGATGTCCCAAAATAAAATGGACATATTACTCCTCTTGTTATATATCGGCGTTCCTTCCCTCTTTGATAGCATCATATGTTTCTCTCTTTTCTCTTGTAACTCAATTCTAAGATTTAAAAAATCAATAAAGTTGGAAACTGTTGATTTTCACGACGTGACCGCGAGGAATTACGGCTATTATTAAAATATTTATCCCCTATTGAAGTAGACAATAAGAATTACATGTGAGAAAAACAAATTTTAAATCTAAACTTTTATGATGATTTATTACTCCATATGGAATTAATTATAACTGATTTTCATAGATATTGTTATACTAAAATCGTTTATAAACTACATTTATTTTATTCATTTTATTAAATACTGCGCCAAGGAAAATCTTAAGTTCATCAGCGAATACTGATATACTGATCAAATTATTGTCTTTTTTTTTACATTTTTCGCACGAAACACTCTTCAACTTCTTCGAACTCTGGCTGGAGAATAGCGCGTAGGATTATTGTAAATAAAATTGATAATATATTCCATAAATATCCTAAATTAATAGGTAAGTGTGCCTCACGCAGTTTCTTTATCCGCCCAATGTTACTTCATTCACTATACGATGCAGATTAAGGATTTTTCCAGCTAACTATATGATTACATGACTACAGTCTTCCCCGGCAGATTGGATCAAATATTTCGGTAAAAGAATATAACATTTTTCTTAACCGAAACGAAAACACTGGATATAAGTTTAATTAGGAGAGAGGTGAAGTATTCATTGTTGAAATGGCCAAGGCAGTACACGAAGCTGCAGTTTCATATATTCAAGACTGCTTTAAAGAACCTAATAATGGTGTAAAAGTCGGCCCGATAGAGGTGCTCAATCAGCCATTTAAGAGATTCTACTTGGTTTTCCGTTATCGGCTTATATTAATAGTTCACATCTGTTTCCTATAGACCATTATAAACCAACCGGACATGGGGAACAATTTGCGGCAGATATCTCTGTTTGTGGAAGAGTTCCTAATGTTATAAAACCCTTAATTCCGCACCCCGGTCCGCCCCCGAGTGATGTACAGTAGATGTACTTTTATAGTTTTATACTTCATTGACAATTATTTTCAGAGTCAATTTCCCAATATTAATATATATTTACACAGGGTAACCCTCACGCGAGAATCATCGGTGAAATAGCCAACACTCAAAGCATCACTGCCTTGAATACGAAATGCGAAGCATGGATGCACGAAACATATGTTCGTTGTGTACTTGGAATAAAGCTTTTTCCTAAACAAGCTATTAGGGGAAGTTGTTCATCATGCAATGTTGGTATGTATTTTACATCAATTATTTTCATTTTTATGAGATTTTTTAATAATAGCTTAATAGGCTAGGCTGTGGACGCCATTGGGAGGAAGCGTCTTATCTACAAATGCAACAGCAGGAGTACATGTTACCGAGGTGGGATTAGTATATTATATTATTGTGATCAAATTTCAATGGGCTAAAGTAATTTTTGCAACATGATAGTGGGATTTTGGCACGATACAATATAATAATAATACACCTACACCTACCGGTTGCGACGCCTTGAATAACCCTGCCTTTCAAATCCTTATTCCAATCATAGATGCTTTCTATGACCCTCCAACCGTTGCAGTTGTATGTACCTGGAACAGTTGTTGGTATAAGTTTGGAATTGATTTATTTGAACTTCAACAAGTGGTTGTAGCAAAAAATTAAAATATGAAACATTCATTGCTTATTTGATTCATGCTCTTCAAATACTTTGTTAGCCTGTTGGATAAATTCTTGCCTCAAACAGAAAGACGTGCAGAAAGTTCATTGGCGATTTTAGTACTAACTACTGCATTAAGCTTTTGTTCATTTCAATAAAGGTCATTTCAATTTCTGTAAAAATACCATTAATTTTTTGGATATACGTGTGGAAAGGTCATTAGCAATTTTATTATCACGTTTAGCGTTTTTTTTCTAGTCTAATTCATCGTGATGAGGTAGTTAAAATCAATTGAGTTTTATTTTTTTATTAGCCATTATATTAATTCAACTTGTTAAACGCAGACTTATGAGACTTTAATGCAGTTAATTACTCAGTCTATGCAGAGATTACTTAAAAATACGGCTATAGAGCCAGCACCTGGAAGATTTATATTTGATTCCAATAGCCCTGCGAACACTAGTTAGGATGAGAAGATTTTTTTAACAAGCCTTTTAATAATAAAATTTTATACAAAGATGTAAATTATTCAATGTTATGTGACAAATGTAAAGATTTCGTTTTATTAATACAGTAATAAAAATAAATACGAAGCTCGGGACTTTGCCCGTAGTGTTGTACATGATAAATTTCTATGCTAGCATACATGTTTATTCTTTTTTAAGGTATTCTTGAACCCTAGCCTTTTTCTTCTTCGGCTCTTTCCCAACGTCAGTTCTATTTTTGCGTAATTCGGCTTCGTTTTCTTCGGCAATGGCCTTGTTGAGGCTGATATGATATTCGGTTTCACTTGTACATGAAATACTTTCTGACGTATAGAGGAGAAAATACCACTCCGTGGCTGTAGTGATGATGCCATAGAGATAGTCGAATTCTTCCCCGAACGTCATCCGCTTTTCGTTTCCTCTTGTTAATTTGGTGGGCACTCTCGCATTGTATAACGTTCTGTGGGACGGATGGTCCATTAGCAGATGAAACTTAAACTTTAACCTGAGTCGTATATCCTTAAGGTAATGCAACAGAGCTTCGTCATTATCATCGATCTTGTGTGTTTCTTTTCACAAGCAATTTACTATCCGTTAGTAATGCGTAGAAGCAACTTAAAAATAAGCGAAAAAAAAACTTACTTGATACAATTTGCGGTATGTCTGTTATTCGTCCATCTTCAACGCCATACTTTGCTAGCTCTCTTTCAAGTCTTTCTTAGTCTTGTACGAGGAGAATGACCTCAATTTTCTCTCCTTACACTCCTTAGCGAAGTCCGCAAAACTGTTGCAGGTCCTAAACCTAAACCAATACTTCGAAGCTTTTCTTCGGTTATCTTGAGGAAGGCACGACCAATAATCTCCTCCTTTTCTAAAATTTTGATAGCCACTCGCTAAGTTTCAAGTCTTTTTCCTTACGCAAGAAATTTATCAGTTCCTCAGTAATTTTTTAACTTCATCCGCCAACGTGACCGTCTCATTTCCAGTAGTAGTGGAGGTAGAGGTAGAAGCTGGTGTATCTACAATATTACAATATCTGACATAGCGTTACGTTTTTATCGTGATATTTGGCTCGGACAAAAAAATAGTGTTACGTCCGGAATAATACCGATGTGAAATAAAAAAATACTTCTTCAGCATTCTTAGCCCAGCTATGTCCACCGGCTAGGAGAAAGCAAAGCGTTAATATATGATTTTATGTCGCACAAACAGGTCGGGTGATTTTCACCATTGCGTACATTGCGTAATTGCACGTGGTTTATATAAATATATCGATACTTTATTATTATTTATGAGGAGCAACTGATACAATAATATTGCGACACACATGATGTGAATAAAAATATTATTTATCTTTGCTTAGTACCTCTGGCACCGTTTCAGTAGGAGGGTACACGATAACATTGATTCCCTTTTCACCAGAATAGATACGTTGAGGTTGTATAGGGAAATGAGTAAAAATTCTATCTTGCGGTTCCATTCTTATTGCACCCTCTACTTCAAATTCATTGATGTTTCTTAAGTTGTTGATTATGACACTAACAGATATAAACCCAACCTTATATAAGGACAAACTGGTTGAATCAATATCTTGAAATCGATCTAGACGACGGTTTCAATTTCATCCGCAAGAGAAGAAACTCTTACGCCCGGCGATCTCAAAATTACGAGTCCCTCAGCCTTTCATAGCTTATGCTTTTGTCGTCACGATTTGCTTATATGGTAGGTCCTGTATTGCAACTAGACGCTCTTTCACATTTTTCTCATGTTTGTATGGGGAAAAATAAAGGTATTGGTTAGCTTCAATTATAATATGCGAACGTATTAGCCAATCAAATTAATTTAAATCACGTGATTTTATATTATGTCAGCAAAAAATTGATTTTATTTATTAAATGTTTATTTTTTTAAAAAGTTATTTAATTTTAAAATTCTAATAGCGGTACCATCAAGTATATATTATTACAACAACCTCAAACTGATGTACAAGCCAAATCGCTGATGTTTTGACACAAGAGACAGTAGCTATGTTTCTAAAATAATAATAAAAAAGATTAATTACTTTGATAATAATGTAACATAATTTAAAAAAAACATACGTTGCTCGAAAGGCTATTGGCACTTCTGTACGTAGTCCTTGCACCTCTGTACGTAGTCCTTTGGTGTGTCTAATATCATGCTGATCACAAACATAGTGCAAGCCGTATAGTAAAAATCATTAGTGAAGATTTTTTATGTAAAATTTCGAAACTTTCATTATTAATAAATTATTAATTAAAATTGCTCATGTAAAAAATTTAATTTCCTAAATTCTTTCTAGACTTTATAACTTTTACCATTATTAAATGTAAATCTTTAGACATTAATCTAATAAATTACAACCGCGAATTTTTAAAATTTATCAATTTCGTTTATTTCCGCCAGATAAGAAAACTGTTCAAAATATCTTGTGCTTGTTCATTTTCTAACTCTACACTACTATTAGAATTCATTTCTTTTCAAATATGGCGAAGATTATCTTGTGTTATTTTTTCGATTCCACACCATCTAAACCAGAAATCTGAAGTCGTGCTTGTTGAAATTCTGCGCTCATATTTGGATCCACCCTAATGTCATAGCGATTAAATAAACCTTCAAGTTGTTGTTCATAGATTACAACACTGTAAATTCGATACTTTATAAATTCACTTGCAAAACTATCAAATTGTTCAAAGAAATTTTGGTCAGATAATGCTTCAAGCAACCCAAATGTATTTTTATTATTATTTATTATGTCTTCTTGCAAAGATTTAATGTATGATTTTTCTTGTAAAGTAGAATAATCTGATTCAGGTCGGGAATAAAATACATGTAAAAATGCACGAGCATAATCTGATCCATAATCACCACCCAATCTGCAAACACTTAATGGTAAGTGGATCCAGACTTTCATCCACTTCGCAAATCCGTTTAATGCATGTTCAACTCCGGATTTTAAAGATTCACACAATTCATTAAAAACATCTATAGGTAAAAGATTTTCTGCTTCATATAATTCTTCGCCAAAAATATCAAATACGTTGTCGATACTATTTCGAAGTTTTTCTATCCATACTGACACCATATCTGACATTTTATGTGCCTGATTTCCAGCAGGAAGATATTCTAATCCATTTGGACTGTAAATCCGAGGAATTGGGTCGTAACTAGTTAAAAATTGATAAATTGGTTCATACAAATTTGACAAGATAACGAATTTGTAAATTCAGTTGTATATTATTTATCCCATTCATTAAATACTTTCCACTTTTGAAGATAACTTAGGAACATTACTTGCCATACTTAATTTTTCCAAAAAGTACTGAGCGAATTGTTTGTGCCTCAAGCGTGGTGGTAGTTTCCTTAAAGATTTTGTCAAAATCTTGATCCTTTATATTGCGAAGAATGCCTTACCATTCACGTTTAATTTTTTAAAGCAGGTATTAAGCATAAATTGGAATGCACGAGATAGTCTCCAGTGTCCCGTATAATTAGAAGAAATAGGTTACAAAGTTTCCAACTATATTCGTTACTGGTTTTTTCTGCGCCACATTTCTCCGTGATCTGGAACATAGGTTTAGTTGATAACATTGGACACTTTAGAGGGACACTTCTTTTTCCCTGATAACAGCTTGCTTCGCTGTTCCCGAAAGAAATTCTTGCACAAAAGTGAGATTGCTTCCATTACAAAACATGTATTCCGGTGCTAGAACATTAATTATATACCTAAATAATTTTTTCTCCCTCATCCCATTTAAGATCAGTTGAAATTCATCGATATGAAGAAATACGAAAAGTCTTTGAGTGCCTTTGAGAGACAAACTTTCGAATACTTGCAAAGACGTTTTGAATATTGAAAATTTTGATGTAAGACAAAGCCTGTTCAAATCTTAATTCATATTTCTCCATAATGTAAGTACTTATAGAGAATCCGCAAGCAAATAATCTTTTCATTTTCTAGAGGGTAATCTTGCTTATTAAGTCTGATGCTGTTCCCAAAGTCCAGGTAAAGGTACAAAACGGTTAAAATGTCGCTTAGTATCTTTGAAAAGCCTCTCCTTGTTGGTTTGGATATTATTGAAAAGCTCTTTACCAAGTCGAGTTTTACCTACATACGATATTTTAGAGATAGATGAAAAAACATGCATAAAATATTTGGAACATTCAAAAAAAATCCATACCTATCCTAGGTTGAAATCTGACTTGGTGTAGGTGTTTGCAGGTTGCAACACTCGCGAATTATTCATCACATTATCCTAACAATATTAGCTATACTAGAGAGATCTCAATCTTTTAGTGGCATCCCTATAAAAAATAAATGTCCGGAAAATGTCAAAGAAAATGTCCGGAATAAATCAATACAAATTCCGGACATATGTTTGTCCAGAAAATGTTCCAAAAACACACTCGTTTCCGGACACTCATTTTGTCCGGAATTTGTACTGGTTTTAGTTTTTGTCCGGTATTTGTCCATATTTTGTCCAAAACTTTAAACAACGGAAAATCAATATGAAAATCGGGATACTTTTGGGACATTTTGCAGACATTTTCAGAACATTGTCCGGAAAGTATCCGGATTTCTCATTTACAAAATTTATCAGTTAATTTCAGCCGAATTTATCAATCAATTTCAGCCGAGTTTATCAGTTAATTTCAGCCGGGTTTATCAATCAATTTTCAATCAATTTCAGTTGAATTTATCAATCAATTTCAGCCGAATTTATCAGTTAATTTCAGCCGGGTTTGTCAGTTAAAAATTTATCAGATAATTGCAGCCGAATTTATAGGATAATTGCGACTAATTCCAGCCGATTCATAAATATATATCAGTCAAAAGTCAAATTTGCATTTAGCAGCCAAATTTAGAATTGATTATAAATCAAATTTACATTAGAATTTCGAAATTTAAATTATAAATCTTTATTAAATCAAATATAAATTACATTAATAAACATTATACGGTATATGCTATATTTTCTAAATATTTTTAGTATCTAAATAATAAAAGTGATATGCAATATTTAAATATTTAAAATGTAAAATTAATAAGAGATATACGGTATTAGTAGTAGTATTTAAATGTAAAAGAAATAAAGAGTTATTATTAGTAATATTTAAACGTGAAAAAATTAATAAAAGATATTAGTATTTAAATGTAAAAAAAAAAAATAATTAGTATTATTAATATTTAAACATAAAAAATTAAGATATTAGTATTTAAATGTAAAAAAAAATAATTAGTATTATTAATATTTAAACATAAAAAATTAAGATATTAGTATTTAAATGTAAAAAAATAGAGAAATATTAGTATTTAAATGTAAAATGATGAGAGGTATTAGTTTTGGTGTAAATAGTGTAAAAAAAGAGATATTAGTATTTAATGTGAAAAACAAGAATTAGTAATGTTTATATGTAAAAAAAAATAATAAGAGCGAGATAAAATAAGAGAAAAGTTACCAATATTATCGATAATATTTTCAATTTTACTATTTTTTTTTTGTTATAAATTGATGAAAAAGAGCTCGTAAATATTGTAAATATTGAAAACAAAAAGAAAATAAAAGAAAGAGGAAAAAATTTTTTTATTTTTTTCTTTTGAAAAAACCATATATTTATATATTTATAGTAAATTCGTGATTTACTATTTTTAAAACAATCATAACACGTATTATCAATGACACGTGCATGATTAACTTACAATTTTGAAAATAATTTTTATTGGCCAATTATTAGCATGAAGGAATTCCTATGATCCTATCTGCTATAGTTACACAAATTATTTACGTTCTACATTATTTTCTTAACATGTTGGTTTGTAAAGACCTTGTAAGACTAAAAATATTTAATAAAATATGCATTTTTGTCCTTGGAATTTACGTGATCTTTCCTTTGAAATCTTTGTAAAAATCACAAATTGTCATAGAAATATAAAATCGATCAATAACCTTGTTAAAAATCTACTTTCAATTATTTTTTAGAGAATTGTGATAATAAATAAAGCATTTAACCATGCAAAAAAAGAATAAATAAATAAATTTTTTTTTTTTTTTTTAAAAAAAAAAATTAGTAACGCGTTTATTAATTAACAATTCAATAATATTAATTGATTACATAATTATTTAAACACTTAGAAGAAAATTTAATAAAAAATTAAATTATCCTCTATAACTGAAAGATCATCAATTAAATTTTTAACTTCTATTTTCGATGAAATCTTGTTAAATCTGTTATTAAAATCGCCTCTTATTAACTTCCAATCTTTACTTTTTCCTAATAAAATTTCTGATTGTTGATTAAGAATCTGTATAAAATTAAAATTATTTTCACGTAAAATATTACATTCTGTATGCTTCTCTTGAATTTTTAACATTTTTTCGTATTCTACTATTGATCTTTCTATAATTTCTTTGACGTTCAGAAGATTCAAAAGATAGAGTTTATAAAATAAAGAATCTTATAAAGGAATTGCCAACGTATAGAATCTTAAATAAAAGGAACGTTAATAAAATAGAGAGTGATATATGCATAAGATGTGAGAGAAAAGTGGAAGACTGGGATCATGTATGGGTATGCGAAAGGAATGAGTTCACACAAATTGCCAAGGAGAATATTTATTCCTATTACTGATAAAACTAAGAGTTTTTACTCAATCAAACTCATTTTTAAATTATATAGAAATAAGTTTTCTAGTTTGGCGCTATTAAGCAATTCGTAAATAAATTTTTTTTGCATTGCGTCTATTTTTTTTTATTTAATGTTTATTGCCCATAATTTTGGAACTATTTTTATTAAAATAATAATTCAGTTGACGGTTAAAAGTAAAAAAGCTGTCTGCTGCATTTTACCACCAAAAATCAATCTTTATTTAATGTGTAAAAATCAGGTTACATACGAAAAAAAAGTAATATTTCTCGATTACCAAAAAAATTTACAAGGAAAGTTTTTTAGCCAAAAATCAAAATAATCTCATTTCTTCACTCTAGTTAAAGGAAATTTCATTTAGGATGTATTAAAATTTTAATTATTAAGGGTTTTTTTTTTATTTTCATTGTAATCTTTAAATTAAATTTATAAATGTGAGAATTTAGTTAAGGCAATGTAGAAATAAAATAAAATTACTACACCTACCAATGACCTTCTTTGTTGCTGATCTGCGAGATTTTTGTTCAAAAAAATCGCTTGCATCGTTATCATTTTTGTCACCCTCTCGTCTAATCTTTTTTTGTTTTTGATTATTGTCTGATCTTTTCATTCTTTTTTTGTCTTGAATAAAACCTATGGACCTTTTACCTTTCATATCAGACACTAAATTGTTAAGAATTACTTGATTTAGCTTTATATTTAGAAATGACTTAAAATTCAATATATAATTATATCTCCTTGACCTGGATTATCTTTAGGTTGCTTTACTCCAATTCCACGCTTATCAGCCAAAAAGTCAATTAATTCATCTTGTGCTTCAGGATATAATATTAAGTAAGCATTCATTAAATGCTCAGGTTCTTCGCTCAGCCAAAAATTCTGATCTGCAAAGTAAAATACATTAGAAAGACCGTTAATTCATTAAAAAATTATGACAATTATTACCTCTTTCATTCACATCTTCATTAGGCTAAAAATTCAAAATTATAAAATATTTAATTTAATATTTATATTATTATAAAACACACAAATTTTTAGAAAACATTAATCGTTATCACCTCAATCTCATCATGCATATTTTCTAAATCCTCAGAATTCTAGAATTTTTTTTTAAAAGAAAAAAGGTTAATGTGAATTATAATTGTAAAAAAGTTTTTAATGGTCAATTAAATACCTGCTGAATATGCTTTTCTGATTGCATTTCATCAATTTCATCATCTTGCTCTTGGTCCTTATAATTCTTTTTATTTCGTGAATATTCACCTGGATAGAAAAATGCAAAAGCAATACATGATATTATGATTAATTATTAAATTATAAATGCAGATTGATGTAAAATAAAAAAAATTAATACTTACGTTTATTATTAATTATAGCACGGATTATTTCCTTAATTGCCCAATCGTTAGCGCAATTAGGAAAAGTGGGATTTTTTTGTTTAAACTAATAATATAACATATGAATTAGCATATAAAATAAAAATATTAAATCATTTGAATGAATCAAATTTAATGCAATTACCAGATAGATAAGACTTAAAATTTTTTTCATATCCTAGTCACACCATTTCTTATAACGATCTAACATACCATTGATCAAATCACGTAAATCAGCCTAATAATAGTTTAATTTTAAATATATTAACAATTTAATTATTATTAATGTAAAAATATTATAAAATAAGAACTTACACGATATCCTTGATATTCACGTCTTGTTAAATTCAATGCTTTACGAACATTTTTAGCTAAATTACCACGTGGTTTTGCAATAGGTAATGATGGTTGGACTGGTTGATCCTTAAATGAAGATTGAATAATAGATGATTGATTTAAAAATGATGTACATGGACTCAAATGACTTTGAGATTCAATATCTTCAACGGAAGCAATTGAAGATCTTCTTGATTGCTGTTACAAATTAAATAAATCAGTTATTTTATATAAAGTAATTTATACTTTATACCAAATCACATACATTTTCGTCTGTTGAATCTTGATTTTGTTGTTGACTTTGCTTGAGCCGTCTAAGTAAATCTTTATTTTGTTTATTCATAATTTCTAATTGATTTTTTAGGTCTTGTATACTAGTAGCTGTTAATGAATATTTTTTTTTTAAATTTTAATATATAAAAGTATTAAATTATAAAAGTATTAAATTATTATTTAAAATTATAATATATTAATAAATAAATATACTTTGACCATCACTAATAAACGTAGATTGAGTTTCAGGTTGGGTATATTTTTTTTTTACTAATTTTGACATCACTTTTAAAAACGCGAGCAAAAAAATATCTAGAGAATAAAATTGCATTCGCGTTTGAGAAAATTATATACTATTTATAATATATTGATAAATCCACATCTTACAATAAACTCCCTATAGAAAATCAACATACAATCAGTCCAATCAACCTTTTTCATACATTTTAAACGTGCTATTTTTCTGTAAATATCGTAAATCTAGAGATTCATCTGGTATTAGTTACTGCATGTCAATCTAGTAAATAACATTTGTGTGCGATATCTTTGACTTTTATTTTCATAAAAAAATAGACATTTAAAGAGTAAAATTATTGTGTATTTAAACAAAATATAACATTACATTTATAAAAATAATAAATAAAGCTAAACTGTTATTGGACCGATCAATTATTCATTTGGTAATCAATCAGATATCTGATAAAGGACATTTATAACTGAAAGTTTAAAATTAAAAAATATTTTACGCAATAAATTTAATAAAAAATGTATTTTTATACTATTAAATAACTTTTATTTAACAATATTTTTTTATTTTTACATTCCACATGAACTCTATTTGGAAAATTTAACTTGCATACTGTACTTGAAATTCCGAAGTTTAAAGTAAGGGGAGAATTTTTTTTAAATAGGAGTAAACCTTTTTTTTTTTTGTGCAATATATTTTTTATAAAAAAAAGGGTGGAATTTTTTTTTCACATGAAATGAAAATTCTCACACTAAAGTACATAATAAAAAAGATGTTAATTACGTAGTTTTCTGATCATGTATATCATGTATATCAGTTTTAACTGTTTGTTTAATATCAATCATGGGGAACATTTCCTTATTTAATGATACTTAAATTAAATTAACTTGATATAGCTTAGCTTGATATTAAATTAACTTAATATAGTTTAGCTTGAAAGTCTTATGATCATCCCTGAACTGGTACTTCTTTATTTGGCCGGTAAACTACATATTATTCAGATTAATAAATATTCATTAAAAACTATTATTTGATAATCATTGTGTATCTCGGATTGAAGCTCATGCATCTCATGTGAAGTATGTGAATTGGTTGATTATCTGCGATCTGAGTGCTTTTTTTTTAATATTCTACTGGTAACTAAGAATAATAAAAACATTTCACAACTCAAAAATATGATCAATTTACTTCTTTTAGGTAAATGCAGAAAGTTTATCTTTTTTTTATGTTCTTTAATTAGAAATATGTTTAACCATTCATTTTTTTTTATTATAGGAACTGGTTAGAATGAACTTTTGAAACAGCAATTTCACCTTTTCTGAGGTAGATGGTGTTTCTTTATCTTTTTTTTTGGTATTTTTCTTTTAGGAACGTTACTAATCACTCCTTTTCTTTTTTTCTTTATAGAAACTGGTTAGAATGAACTTTTTAAACAGCAATTCATCTTCTTTGAGTTAAGTAGTTCATTATCTTTTTTTTTTGTATTTTTCGTAAGGAACATTACTTACCGTCTCTTTTCCTTTTATTATAGGAATGAATTACTTAGATTTCTTTGTAAAGCAAAAAGTATGGGATAATTTAAGTGTAGAAAGAATAAAAAAAATTAATGAATATTTTAAAAAATTAAATAATGTATCTTCTATCAATAAATAAAATTAATTAATACTACTAAAAAAGAGTATTATGAATTACTTTAGATTCAACTAGGTGTAACCCGTCACATTGTGACGGGAATGATACTTGCCCATCAAGTAAGAGAGTAATAAAGAGAGTAATAATAACACACGTCTCCCATCACTTCTTTTCGTCTCCCATCACTCCTCTTCGTCTCCCATCACTCCTTTTTACCTCCCATCACTCCTCTTCATCTTTCCATCACTTCTTTTTGTCTCCCATCACTCCTTTTTATCTCTCATAACTCCTCTTCGTCTCCCATCACTCCTTTTCGTCTTCCATCACTTCTCTTCATCTTTCCATCACTCCTTTCCGTCTCATATCACTTCTCCTCATCACTCCTTTTATCTCCCATTACTCCTCTTCATCTACCATCATACCATATTTCTCCTTTTTGTTTCCTATCACTTTTCACTACTCTTTTTTACTCTCTTTCATCTTCCATTACATTCCATTACTCCATTATTATTTCATTTTTTATTAGATTCTTTCTTCTTGATCATTGTAATATGAAAAAAAATTCAATTATAACAATCTATTGTCATGAAAAAAATATTTCCCATAGAATTTACTAAACCGATCTATTGTTACAAAAAATAAATAAGTAAATTATACATCAGTCTATTTATATTGAGCCTAAAAAATAATTAGGGAAAATATTATTACTAATAATAATAATAAGAATCGGAAAAAAGGCAATTACCATGGTGCTATCAATCTGATCACCGATCCAAATCTAAATGGTTTAAGAATGTGATTTGAGAAAAAAAAATAACAATGAAGAAAATTGAAAAAAAGATAAAAATAAAATTTGAGGGAAAAGAAAAAAGATAAGAAAAGAAAAAAAGGAATCTGTAAAAAAAATAAGCACCGAAAAAAATTCTGAAAAGAAAGAACAATAATCTGGTCCAAAAAGACTGAAAAAAAAAATTTTAAAATAAATTAATAATACGGTCTAAAAAAAAGACTGAAAAAAATAATAATATAAAAAAAAATCGATCTTAAAAGACCAATAAAAAAAATTTCAGTTTGGAAAAAAACCAATAAAATTCTCGGGTTGGAAAAAAAAACCAAACCAAAAAAAAAGGGAAAAAAATGAAAATTTTTTTTAAAAAAAAGGAAAAGAAAAAGGGAAAGAACAAGGAAAAAAGTTTAAAAGAGAAAAGAGGAAACTTTTAAAAAAAAGAAAGAACTGAAAGTAAAAGATCGATTCAAGAAAAAAAAAAGAAAATTAAAAAAAAGGGAACTGAAAGAATTCAATTTGGTAATTTGGTTCGGAAGAAAAGATAAAATTTTAAAAATAGGTTTAAAAAAAATGAAAAAAATAAAATTGAAAAAAAAATATGTAAATCGGTCGATTAAAATTTCATTAACCGGAATTGGATTAGATATAACAATATGACTTGCTAATCAAGCAGGTCTTAGCTATAAAGAATTCAGATCAGCAATTCAAAATTAATTTATACAGGTTAATTTAAACGTAACGGCCAATGATTTTTTTTGTGTAATAAAAAAATGTGGTGGCAAAAAATAATTATATGCAATTCTGTGGCACATTCTGATTTATGTGACATCCACAGATCCACCCCCACATCATACGTATAAGATCAACATTCCAGTGGCTGGTTTATATATATATTGCAGATCATCCCAATTATCAGATGGTAATACGACTAATACGTTTAGCAATTTATTATTTATTATATGTATAAAATACAAAAAATAAATTACTAATCTTTTGAAATTTCAGCTATATCCTTATCTCTATCTATAATACAATATTTATTTCCTAATGGAAAAAAGCCAACACAACAATCAATAGCTGATACTCTTATAAAATCATAATAACTAAATACACTAAATAATAATACTCCTACATTATCTTCAGTAACTGGTTTTGTCCACTGAATATACGCTAACATTTATTTTTGATCATTAAATTCATATAAAAAAAAGAATTCAATAATTCCATAAAAAGTTTTTGTTACAAATTCAGATTCACGATATTTGAAATTCGCCCATTTATCAACTTCAATTTGTACCTAAAAAATATATAAAATAAAAATATTGTAATTTATTATAATTAATAAACACTACAATAATATATAAAACTGGAATATTTACTTTTACAGTATGATTAATTCTTGCCCAATCATTATTCTTATTAATCCATTTTGATCCAATAAAATATTTATTTTTGGTTAACATCCGTCCATACATTATACCTTCTTTTGGTAAACTCTAAATAAATTAATAGTTAATATATTTAAAAATAGTTGAAAATTAAAATATGATAATAATATTTAATCAAACTGTACTTACATTTAAATTTAAATCAGTTATATTATTATATGATGTTGATAAATTTTCTTTTATTTTTTTAAGTTGAATTTGTGAAAGAATATGTTTTTTAGTAGGAAAATAAAATTCTTCAAAATAATATTCATCAGTATATATTAAATGCTGAGCATATTGCTTTGGAGATGATTTTGATAAAAAAACATGTTGATAAATTTCATGATAAGGGAGATGGTTAAATAATTCCATAAGATATACGTTATTAATAATATTTTTATAGGGATGTAAACGTGATTTTGCCAATGGAATTAACATTCCGCATATACGCTCCATGGGAAACTGCCAAGTGGCCCAACAAGGACCTGTATTTCTAATACTATCAGTTACATGTAATAAGTAATGAAAACAAAGTTTCATTGCACTGATATTTTCTTTAATACCGCCATAATATTCTCTACAAATAAAATAAAGTAATAAAAATATTAATTTAAAATATTATAATGAAATATAATAAATATTTTGCATTAAATAATATTATTAATTTTTTTAAAAATTAATTAAATAAATTAATGTATACTTACTTTTCGTAATGCTTATAAAAATTTAATAATAAAATTTTAATTTCTGATATATCTTCTTCAAATAAACATAATTTTTTACATAATCTAACTGCTTTAACAAATAAAGCCCAACCTTCATAATATTTTATTGAAAGCTTATCTTTTAACAAAGGTAAGGAATACATAATAATCCAGGCCATCCATTCTTCTGCCTTATAACTATTATAATAAAGAGTAATATTACGAGGTGGGCGTCCAAGATAAGATGGAATCATTTTACGAGCTGTATGCATTAGATTTCCAATTTCGGTCCATATAGTTTTATTAAGTATATATGGTTTATTACTATTTTCGCCAACATTTTTGAAAAATACACCAAACCAATGCTTAACCATATATTTTGCAACATTTTCAAACATTAGGTGCATTATATCTAATGCAAAAGAAGATGGAAATTTGATTGAAGGTAGATCATATAATATACTTTGATTTTTTATTCCTGATATTATAGTTAATATATATTATTATTAGATAGTATATTTATTATAATAGATTAATAAAAACTTACCATAATTTCGTTGTAAAGATTCAATTGCTTGTTGTGTTATTATACAATTTAAATTTCGTATAATTTTTTCATATTCTTCATGTGATCTTAAGGGTAAATTATTTGCATCGTAGCTCATTAAATTATTGGATCCTATCGGAGGAATGGTAGAAAAGTATACATGTTTTACACAGATTCCTTTAATATTACAATAGCGACATCCCTTATATGAATTATGGCCAGTAAAACACATTAGTTTTGTCAGGCCAGGTGTATCACCCGACCATGACAAAACATGTGCTTTTAAAATAAAATGATTCTTGGTATTGCCATCTATACAGTCAGTACCTCCTTTATAAGATAAAAGATTTTAATTAAAAATAGTTTAATTATTTAATTACATTATAATAATTATAATTGTAAATAAAACTTAACTGGCTAATTCCTTAAGTTCATCAACTATTGGATTCATGAATGAGTTAAAATCTTTTGGCTCCTTTGGTCCAGGAATTATTGATGTAATTAATAAATTTTCCTTAAGTACCCATTTTTCTGGTGAAAGATTTGCATTAATAAATAATAATATCCAGCAAGTTTCAGTTTTTTGATGAAAGATCTGATAACCATCTACAGAGCCAGTTAAAGCAATATCATGCTCGTCTTGAAAATATCCTATTTTCAAAAGATCTAAATAACATTTTCCATCAAATACATCTCCTATTTTACCATCTTCGCCAAATCCATTACGTGTTGTGTATATATATCGATAACGTAACTCATTTGCACGATTTGGATTTTCATATTGTATTTTTAAACGCTTTATAAGGGAAAAACACGCAAATTGGTAACGTGGTTTTTTTTTTTGATCATACCTAGATTCATTGCAATAAGGACATAGCATTTCATTCTTAAATTGTCCTGTATATGCACAACAGGAATTAATACACATATCAATCCACTGTGGTTCAGTATTTACCAATTTTTTTAATGTTTTTTTTATTTGATAAATACTGATTGAAATATTGCTTGCTCTCATGATCTGATTCAATGCGTTATCAGTTAAATTGCATCGAACTTTAATTTCAAAAAGTCGTAATGCTTGTGCCAAGTCTTGAGATATATTTAATTTAAAGTCATCTATATAAGTTGAAATTTCGTTAGCAATACTATATAAGCTATTATTTAAATATAATATAAAGATATAAATCAAAGCTTACTATTATTTAAGTCGTCCGTAAATGATGTTTCTTGTGCATCATAATTATTATATTCTTGATCTAATTCTTGCATATAATAATCATCTTGCAAGCTACCATTGCTTGAATTTTCATAATCCTCTAAGCTACCATTGCTTGAATTTTCATAATCCTCTAAGCTACCATCACTTGAATTTTCATAATCCTTTAAGCTACCATCACTTGAATTTTCATAATCCTCTAAGTTATCATAATTGTTATCATCTAGCGAGTTATCATTGTCACTTAAATCTTGTAAGTCATTATCATTATTTAAATTATTATCTTGTAATAATTTATCATGAAACTCATCCATAGTTAAATCAGTATTTTGATAAAAATCTTGAAATTGTATATTATCGCCCCTATCACTTTTATTAATATAAATAAAAATTAGTTAAGTTTTTAGTTTACTTAGTATTAAACTGAAAAAACTCACCTTACTTCAATACTTTGGCTATTCATATTTGTATATTTTATCCATTCAAGTTCTTTTTTTCTATGCTTTTTTACAGTTGGAAAGGTATAATACTTACCGCCTAATTCAGGGTTTTATGCTTTACAAATAAAACATTTACACAATACTTTTTCTGACATTATAAAATTGAAAAATTAAAAAAGGGAATTTTATTTATAAAAGTGTGTTAAATTCAAAGATATTTTTACACTGAGCGACAGAGCATGATCAACTTAATCTCCTGATTAAAATATTGATATCCGATATGTATCACAAGAAGGGAGGTTTATATTTGTACTACTTGGCAAAAAAAATTTAATAAAGATGAAGCATCAGCGTGAATTTTTTCTTTTTTAAATAACTTCTGAAATTTGGAACTCTTTTATTATTATTATTTTTTAATTACTTAATGTTTAGGGATTTTTTTTTTAGGAATCAGCTTTATGTTGAGTGGATCTTAAATTGAGGGAATTTGGTTATTTAAATCCCATTCATCATATCAATATAACAAATTGGAATCCATGTTGAAAAGATTGTGAAGTAGGTGGTGGTGATGCTGTAGTAGCAGAAGTATGTATCATTTTAATGTTTTTTATTCTATGATCTATTAGATATAATTACACACTTTTCATAATGATAATGTATTTATATGCAATTAATGATATAAATTATATTTAATAGATATAACTCTTATTTTCTTTACTTGACGTAATATTCATGGTGATGATGTTAGAACATGACTTGGGCTTAAACACAATAAAACAATCATTATTTTTTATGCTATAGTAAGTGCCCAGTTTCTTTTTCATTTCTTTTATTATTATTTATTTTTCACTATTTTTTTTATTAAATTTTTTTCTATTTATTTCTTTCCTTTATTTTTCTTCTTTTATGATCGGAAAGCCTTGGAACAGTTTTAACTTGATGTTGCAGAACCATAGTAAGTGTTAGATTCTTTTTTTTTTTCTTTTTTTTTATTAATTTTTATTTTTATTAAATTTTTTTTCTTTATTTTCCTTCTTTTAGGATCAGTTTGAGTTCGGATTGATGTTGCAGTACCATACCCTGTAAAAAATATGATCTGTGTTTTATCTTTCCATGTTTTTCCATGAATGTATCATTTTCATGGAATTTATAGCCTTAAATCATGGAAATTTTCATCTCGCTAATACAGATATCCGTGAATGTATCATTTTCACAGAATTTTTTATAGAAGACACAGAGAAAGAATGGAAATATTCGGATAAAAATTTTTTATAGGAATAGTACCATAGTAGGCATCAGATTCTTTTTTTATTTGTTTTTTTTTTTGATTTATTTATTTTTTTTTTGATTTTCACTAATTTTTTTTTATTAAATTTTTTCAATTTTTTTCTTTCCTTCATTTTCTTCTTTTAAGATCAGGAAGTCTTGGATAGGTTTCAGCGTGTGGTTGCAGTGCCACAGTAAGTTCCAAATATTTTTTGAAAAGTTTTTCTTTTTTTTTTTATTAATTTGCCAATAATTTTTTTTCTTTTCATCTCCTGAGATCGGGAACTCATAGGTCAGATGGAATAATACAATGGTAAGTGTCAATTCTCATTTCTTTTTCGTTTCAAAATAAATTTTTATTATTATTATTTATTAATATCTTTTTACCTTAGATTCAGAAGTTTCAGCGTAATGCAACAGTAAGAATTAATTTCTTTTTTTCACTCTTTTTTCCTGTTTCATTCATTCATTCTTTTTGTTTATATTTACTAATATTTTTCCTTTATTATTTTTCTAATTTAGATTCGGGAGAGGAGGGCTTGGATCAGATTGTGCACCTACTGCTGCGGTACTATAGTAAGTGCTGGGTTCTTTTTTTTCATTGTGAATTTTTCCTTTATTTGATTATTTTAATTAATACTTTTTATTAACTTTCTTTCTTTAGTTTTCTTCTTTTAGGTTCAAGAAGAGCTAGATTGGATTCTGCATGATGTTGTGGCATTATGTAAGTGCTATATATCTTTTTTTTTCATTTTTTATTCCTTTTTTATACTTTTTAAGTCTTTAGATTCAGATTGGATGAGACGTACTTATTGGATGTGATACTACTGTACACTGTAAGCACTAAATCTTTTTTCATTTTGAAACTTTTTCCCTTATTTTTTTATTCATTTTTTTAATTTTTTTTTTAATTTTTTTTTCTGTCTTTTAGGTGGGAAGTTTTAGATCAGGTTTAGCGCAATGCTGCAGTGCAAATGGACCGATAGCTCCCTCATCAGCTTTAAAAAATTTATTATCAACATTTCTTAAAAATTTACAAAGATGATTAGCAAAAATTATTTTTGCTCAAAAACTCCCACGTTCTGGTAAGATTTATCCAGAAAAGAAGAAATTACACACGAATGCTAACTTCAAAGAATATTGTCTAGTGGATACCTCAAGACCCTTTTCCTTCTTATGATACCTATCACCAAATCTGACCCGTATTATTCAAGCACGTCAGAAAATACCCTAACAAATGATCTTCAAAAATTGACACATGATTCATTAGTGCAAAAATCATCTGACCACCTGTTTTGTTAAATATTTAATTTTACTTTAGTTTTATGCAGAGTTGCAGACCTTCGTTCATCTTTAATCTCAATACAATATATAAGCAGGATAGACTTATAATATTTAGTGAAATAGATCTCCAGATCTGAAATAACAATGTTAAAATTTCTTTTGTAGAATAGTTTTTTTGTGTTAATTTTGTGGTTTTCATGTGGAATCTCACAAATTTATTACATCTGCCTAGAAATTGTTTTACAATAAAGTATACCTTTATCTACAATTTATATTATTGTGTTGTGTTTAAAAATAAATAAATAAGATGTCTTAAAAAAATGAAAAAAATGATCATCCCTATGATGACCAATCTTTTTTATTTTATTTTTTTAAGTCTAGCTACATATGAAAACTTAAATCAGAATTTTGTAGTGGCAAATAGCAATAGCGAACAATTAATAATAACAATTTATAATACTAATATTGTAAATAACAAGCAATTATTGATAATGATAAATTCCATAATAAATTTTTATTTGAATAATTAAACGAACAGATAATTCGAAAAAAATAATTATTTTTTCTAAAAATTTAAAAAATAATAATGATCAAGTTAATTTATTTTATTTAGATGATTTAATGTAATAAATTATACAACATCAGATCCAAACTCTACTCCAAACCAGTTTTTGAACTTGATCTGACTCGTAGAACCAAAACCGAACTGGTAAAGTCGTTCCCATCCCTATTACATGTGACAATTGTGACATACGTTGATAATTTAATTTTACTACCATTGTGATTTGTAAATTATAAAATTATAATAATTTTACTAATATAGAAATGCGCAGCTACTGATTTTATTTATTTTATTTATTAGGTTAACTTTGCTCTGAGCTAATACAAAAAAATATTTAAGTACATTCTGCCTATTGTACGTGGTTTATACCTGAATGTTACCTCTTATTCATCTACCCTATCCTTCAAACCAATAATGGCTTCTGTCTTGTGGTCTCGTGTTAATCAGTTCATCCCTTCCATTGTATTTTAATAAAATTCCAATCCATAGCAAATCTTTTTTTTAAAAAAAAATCTGTACATATTCCGGACATTTTCTGTATAGAAAAACGGCAATTTTTTTTTTAAAAAAAATTCTATACAAATTCCGGACATTTTCCGTATTAGAAAATTAATAATTTTTTTTTTTAAAAAAAATTCTGTACATATTCCGGACAATTAATAATTTTATGTACATATTCTGGACATTTAAAAACTTGTGAACGGATGATGTGATTATTTTTTAGGACGAAAAATGGTCATTTTCTGGACACATTCAAATATGCCAGGACATTTTCCGGACATTTTTGTAGATGCTTTCCGGACAATCCTTTTTTATAGGGCATATTATGCCAATTAAATTGCGAGGTATCGGTATCAGAGGTATCGGTATTAGGGGCTAAAGGTGTGGAACCCTCCAGAACAAATCCTCAACTGATGTCAAGGGGAAACAAGTGTGATTAAAAATCGAATTCTGCCGTAATGTAACAACAATTTCACACATTTATACCTGTTTTCACTGTCTCTTGTCCTGTAGAAAAACAACAAAAAAAAAGAAATTTACAAAGTAAGTCAGCAAAACATGTCTCAGCAGTGAAGTAATGAACTGCGAATTTCTTGTTCGAGAAGTAGCTTCGGGCACTTGTACAATGATGTGAATGTTATCCTTATCCTCATCCTTTATCTTAAAACATTGTTTAAGATTATGGTTAGGTCTCAATTTCTCGCCAATAATGATTTTATCGCCAACGATAACAGAAAAATATCATCAAAAGACTTTCCTAAGAGTATACAATTTAGTGACATCACCATTTTGGAAATAAATCTGTAAATCGATAAAAAGAATTTTAGAGAAAGAAGTACTTTTTGGAGAGAGAAAAGAGAAAAGTTTTGAGAAAGTTTGAGATAGTTATATTATATACTTGTAAAAAAAAAATTTATGCGATAATATGATGAGTATTCACTATCGATTAAAAAGGTGAATTACTGTACGCAATTATTTGGTTGCGACCGTATTTGACTAAGTGTGAAATGTATTATGTAAATTTTCTTTTTTACTATAACTAGTATTTTTTATTTTTATTTTTATTAATGGTTATCAGTTAGGAACCTAAACTGACGCGAATTAAAATAATTTACAAATAATAAGAAAATTGAATTACAAAGATAATGATGAAGAATTTATTACAGTATCTAGTCATGAAGAATTTAAATAGCTTATCCTTTATATTTAAAGAATAAGAAGCTAGAAATGTGGTGAATTGAATTTGGTATCGGTTGAATTTTCCATACATTTTAAAGTAAGAAAAAAATACTGTATAATCACATTACTAGTAGTCAAATAAATTTTTTTAAACGATTTTAGTTAGTATCATAACTAGTTATACTTATTGGTATAACAATATCTGGTTTTTTTTTTGGTATGACAATATCTGTGTTTAAATTATTTTTTTTTTTTTTAATTATTATATTACATATGGAGTAATAAATCATCAATAAAAGTTTAGATTAAAATTTGTCTTTTATCACATGTAATTCTTATTGTCTAGGGGGTAAATATTTTAATAATAATAATAGCAAAGAGGGAGGGAACGCCGATATATAATAAGAGTAATATGTCAATTTTATTTTGGAACATCTAAAGAGATGAGAAAATCGATTAACATCGTATATTTCAAGAAGCTAATCCGAACTAACCTTATTATTACTTTTGCGGAATATACAGCAGATTGTAAATATCAATGATCAAGATAATGGTAGGTTTAAATTTTATTAGAATTTTCGTTTGATTTTTCGCTTGATTATTGCTTATATTTGCACAAAATTTGCAGGATCAATTTGAATACACTTTTGGGGAAATGATTCTATCACAACCACCTCCCCTTAATTTAACAATAAAATAATTTAACGCTATCCATATGTAAAGGGATTTTTTTTAATAAGAATGTGACGTATTACAATAAAAAAAATGATACATGCAAAAAAAATTATAAACTGTCTGATAAATTTGCCCCATTGCTTTATTGATCATATGAAAAAAAATATATAAAATACAGGCTACATGAAGATGCTATTTATTCGATGTATTCTCTTTTTACAAGATAGTCCGCTACAGTTCACAGACTCATCACATGACTTTTGACAGAAATTTTGTTCTATGACTGCGGAAATAATTATCCGTAAAATTCTTTTCTATAATAATAAAATATGGATTGAAAATTGTACCAAAGCTTAAAGCTTATATACTAGTTATAGTAATTTATCTTTTGTTGCATTTCCATAAATTTTAGGCAACATAAATCATTACATTTCCCACACTTAGTCAAATACGGTCAACCATACAACCGAAAAATTTTTTAATAAATACTCATGATAAATACTTGATAAATACTCATTGATTTTTTTTTTTTGATTTTATGATTTTCATTTTTTATAATTTTTCACCATCACATAATATTATCCAATACTTCATAATGTCAAGAAAAAAGACTGCTCAGTCTATATTGTAAGTGATAAAAAATGAATGTGAAAGAAGTAAAAGAAATAAAAATGGTTTATGCGAGTTATTAGAAAATATAAATGTTCCAGTTTCACAATGATACTATATATTGTAGCAGTTGATACTAATCCCTTCCTGTTTCAGATTATACCAGAATAATGCTATTAGAAAAAAATCAACTATAGGACACACCAGAATCAAAGATCTCCTTTTTGATGAGATTAAAAAAATTCCATGGAATCCAGATAAATTTCCTGGGGAAAATCTAAGCAAAAATGTATATTTAATATGAATTTCTTAGAGAAGGATGAGGAAAAAAAAGTGAGAAAAACTATCAGAGAGTTTCTTTATCAATATATAGAGACCTGTGATTCAGACTACTTCAAAATTATAAAAGATAAAGACTAAATGACATACGTTTGCATTAGTAAAATTCCTAAATTATTAACCTTTATCTATTATTTTTTGATAGGGCTGATGAACTAAGCGAAGAACTTGGTGCTCTTGTGGTGATTGACAAGAGTGAAGTTAACAAATCAATACTTTCTAATTTTACAAAAGCAAAAAATAATCCAAGCACCATTGATTCTACATCTATGAATCTCAGTAAAATCGTTGAAAAACTCAAGAAAATTGGGCAAGACCTATCAATTAATTCATATATGCAACATCAGTTGACCATACCCATATTTCTCTCTGCACGAACAGGAATTTAGCTATTATGATATATGGGGATATGCGCACTACTGAGTAATAATGCTTCATCCATCTATTATGGATCACAAGTGCCATTCCTGATCCTTTAGTTTTTTGATCGCATTCACTGAAGATTATCGAATAAACTTTTGACTTAATGTCCTGGTTTATAAAATATTCCTGTCGATAGTCTATATTAGTTTCTGATATAGCCATAATATCGATGCTATTTTCATTAATGAATTCCAGTAAGTTATGAAGTTTCTGTATAGACGGGACACTAGCAATCCCATCTATATTGTGTGCTGCAATGTTCAACTCTAAAAACATTGAATCTTTCGTCTCTTGTTTGTTCGACTTCCCTTTAACAAATCTTAGCCTTTGTCTTGCTAAGAATACATTAATACTTTCTTCACTTGTCAATGAATCANCGGGACACTAGCAATCCCATCTATATTGTGTGCTGCAATGTTCAACTCTAAAAACATTGAATCTTTCATTTCTTGTTTATTCAAATTCTCCTTAACAAATCTTAGCCTTTGTCTTGCTAAGAATACATTAATACTTTCTTCACTTGTCAATGAATCAACAACTTCTTCTATGTTGTCTTGATTCTTTTGAAAATCCCCTTTACAACCGTTAATTCATTTGTTTCTGGGGTATATTTTCTTTTTCTGCTTCACCACCCGCTTTGTATCCTTTTTGTTGTTGTTGTGACCGTTCATCACTCGCGTGCTGTGTTGAGGACGCGTTATTGTCCTGATTACTCTTGTGGAGATTGCCCAGAGCTTGGCATTTTTCCCTCCCTTCCATTATTACTACACGTGTAACTTCGTTTATCATCTTGTGTAACCTTCACTTTTGTTTTTTGCTTAGACCGGCTAAAGAAAAAAACCCAATATAATATTAAAACTTAATTCTAAGGAGAGTTTTATATTATATGCTTTAAATGTATTTATAGCTCTACTAGCAATTTTCTCACTTTCTGTAAAAGTTAATTCTAGAATATTATTTGAAATCACAAAATTTTATTATTTTGATGTACATTTAGCATGATTTATATAATGGATTAACCGAAAGGTTATAGCACCTTTCAACTTTTTATTTGTTGTGCAGTCTTACAAGTTAAAATCACAAGATATTAGCATTTTGCACAAGTGCATTTTTAGATTAGCTTGTGATTCACATTATTGTTATATTAAATATTGATATTATTTACTCCAATAACTTTATTTTGTTATACAAATAGAAATATGAAAAGTATAGAAATATGGATTTAATATCAAAAAATATATATATTTAACCTTAAACTATTTTGCAGCCAAATTTGCCTGCAATTTTGTTTTTTAATTAAAGACACTTTTAAATACCTTAAAATATTTTATTAAATAAACAAAAATTTTAAAAAAAAATAAAAAAAAATTTAAAAAAAAAAATTGAAAAAAAAGTTCAATTTGATTAATGATTTTTTAAAAGTAAATAATAGACAAATTATAACAAATAGTAGCTAAATTTTTTAAATTGAAATATCTTTTTATCCATTAACCCTAGAAATATAAAATTACCACCATTTGATGCATCTTAATAAAAAGAATCCGATAGAAATAAAATTGTCCTTCTACAAATATTATTTGACAGGATAACTCATAAAATCTAAAAATTTATAAATTAATATAACCTTTTATTAGGACCCAGAAATATATATATAGGGGTCAGGTGGCAAAAAAATTTTTTACTATGAGCTGTACGCAGAGACTTTTTATATGAGTAGTACGCATAATTGACACCTGATATTGAAAATCCTGCAAAAATACGCAAATAAAATTTCAGACATTAAGTTATTAATTATTTTATCATGGCTTCTCTATTATTTATAAAACCAAATACTAATGTGAAAAAATAGAATTTACCATTTTTCAATAATATTTTTCTAAAATTACACTTTTAACCATTAGAAATTTCTTTCAATTAATACTAAATATTACAATGCGGTTAATTAAATAAGTACGTACAATAAAAATATTTTATAAATAAGATTAGCCAAATTTAGGCCAAAAATACGCAAACTAATTTTTTACATATAAAAATTTTGATAAAAAATACGCAATCTTGATGACCTAACTATAGATGAAAAATTCTAAAATTGTACGCAAATCAAAACTTTACTCCGTCTAATTCCACTATGATGGCGACGCATCTGTGTACCCTACCCCTGTATATATATTTCTGGGTCCTCTTTTATTTATCAATTTTAGAGTTATGATTTTATTACCATTAAATGCGCCTTAATAAGAGGAATCTAACAAATATAATTTCATCCTTCTATGATCACTAGATCTTAAGATATTTTAAAAATTCAAAAATTTTTAAAATTAATTTTAGCTCCTACAGTTTAAGGGATAAAAAATATAAATATATCATTTTGCTATCGCATTTACATATCGATGATAAAAAATTTTTCATCTGTAGCTTTATCAAAGGTTTCCCACCGCACATATTAATAAATTGTCTTAGATGTCTTAGATACCTCAAATGAAGGTATAAAATGGGAATCATTTTAGTTGTTTGATTGTTTACATGCATAATGACGGTATCATGTATTTCTCTCAAATGAAAGTATAAATTGGAAATCATTTAGTTTACTATTATAATCACCTGAATAACACATGTATAGATTTATATTTACATTTGCAAAACGCACACATTTTAAAAATCAATCATATAATCAAAGGGCGTATTGTCTATAATATACTGGATGTCTTCATACGTCATTTTGAAATAGAATCAGCAGAGAAGGAATGAATTCGATTTATTTTATCTATACCTATTGCATTAAAAAGTGTATAGAGTTTCTTGACCTGCTCGATTCTTTTCTGTAAAAGTACATCAGAAGTACCTGCAGGAAGCTGAGCTTTAACTTCTTTATTTAGAATTTTACTGACTGTATTAGACTCCGGATCAACTTGTTTTTCAGATGCTCTGGATAAGAGCTTTCCCAAATTGACAGTAACAAAAGATAGCTTCTTAGGTCACACGATTAACAAGGATTACGGCATCACAAAGTTTTTCATACAAATGAGAAAAGGTTGGCGTTCCCATTTTTACTGCTAAGGGATCACAGCTTCGTATTATTTTCTCTAGGCAAACATCCAAAGAATCCTTGGCCTCGTTATACTTGGCCTTAAACTCATCAGCCATAAGTCTGGCGTTTTCTTGCCTAAGTAAGTCAATCTCAGATGCCATTTTCGAAAATAATTTTATACACTGTATATTTGCATTCAACATTGGATGTAAAATCCCGTCGATTACATTATTCTCACTATTGATAAAAAATAATTTTTTTTTTTTGTTTAAAAATAAAGTAATTTTTTATTTTCTGATGGTATAACCAACTAAAACGGATAACGACATCAAAATAAAAAAATTCACGTGATTCCACTTTGTGAACTTAGTTCACGAAGTTTTGCCAAGAAAATTTCCCCTCAAAAATATATTTTTTTTCGGGAGGATAGTCTTCCATTATTTCCTTGTCTTAATTACGTAAAAATGCTTTATTAAATAGTTAGATTGACTCCCGCAGTAGCAAAGCTACCAGGGAATGCGAAAAATAAATACAAAAGTTCAGGACGTAGCCCGGATACATGACGAATTTACTATGCTACTCTATCTATTAATAAGTCCATTATGACTCATAAAATCCTCCTCACGTTCTTACACAATTCTATATCATCTTTATAGGTTCAGTATTTCTTGGTTTACCCCAAGAATGTTGTATCATTTAAGGACTGTAAACAATTGTCTAAGATCATTGTAGTCATATTCAACCCATACTTAATTAAGTGGCAAATCCTTCGGCCATTATAACTATTTTTCGACCATTTAAAATGGACTGGTGGAAAATCAGTTGGAATCCGAATACATTGTGGTAAGAATACAATCCTCATTCCATAACGATTTTGCATTCGATGATTAGCGAACTGTTGCCATGTTGGAAAATATTCCTCACGATCTAATGTGCACCATGCTCCATATTTCTGCCAACTTAAACCGTCCCGAAACTTGGCATTATGCACATCTTCATATAATCTCAAACACAAGATCTCAAATTGTTGATTAGCATAACGATTTGATTTGTTAATGTTGTGGTTCATAATGTTTCCTTTCAAACGGCGAACTTCAATTGACTCAGTAAATAGGGCGGAATTATCATAATTATATTTGATTTGCAATAAACTTTGATACTGTTCCTCAGAAATCTTAACCATGGCTATCTTATGTCAGTTTCTACACATCCACAAGTATAAGCAGAAAATTAAAGGAAGATGAATGATAGTGCCAAAGTATCTAGTGGAATAAAAATTATGTACGGACGGTTTTATCTACTGGCTATATTATCTGCTGTATATTGTGATCAACATCACACAGTCACAGATAATAAATGACGCGCTATTTTAAGTTTTTCATTTGAACAAAACAATATTAAAAAAACCTATAACATGATAAAGAGATGGATCAGCAATATCAGTCAGAGATAATGTTATCGTGTAACAAACTTACTGGAGATAAAGCAACATTTTTCTTCGATGAAACTTTATATAAACCAGGGTACCTGTAGTAGTTGTTTCAATCTTACCTCTAAGACAAGAAACGAATCTGTAATATACTCAGATAATAAATCTTGAAGAGCAATTTTAATTCTTGTATAAATTCTATATAAAGGTCAATTTAAATTTATTCTTTACTGAAGGCAAAGTTTGTCTAAAATGGAGTTTATTTGGATTATTGTAATTTCGGCAATAATTATCTTATTTCTCGGCGGTATATGCTATCGTTGCTGTATATACGATCCAGAACAAGAACAAATGATCGAAGATCTAGAACAAGACTTGAACCAAATAATTACAAGGTCATGGAGTAGAGGAAGTCAAATGGAGTAGAGGGATTTAAAGAAGTCATTTGGGAGAACCTTAGCCCTGCGTTCTAGTATGTTTTTAGAAAAAAAGATAATATTTACCTTATTCAACCATAATTCAGTTTATGGAATATGAAAGTTTTTAGATCTTAAGATTCATGTAAATATTTATGAAATTTTGAAAAAAAAAACATTTAATTTTTAATTAATAAATACAAGAATAATTATTTATTCCTCAAAATCCATGAATGTGTTGCAACATGATCGCAAACGTTTCTCAGGATCGGACTGTAATAAAGACGAAATGAGATTTTTAGCATCCGAAGAGATTTGATTTGGTATTTTGATAAGTTTCACGTGTTTTCAACCATAAAAGGAGGCTCCCCAACCAAAAATTCATAACACAACACTCCAAGCATCTATCTTTTGGTCATAACTCGTGTCTTTGATCATTTCAGGTGCCAAGTAATCAGGCGTAACGTCTCTAGCTTGCGTCGAAATCCGAAATCTTTATCTTATCATCACTTGACAATAGTATATTTTTCTGGCTTCATATCTCATGAATGATTTTTTTCTTTTGAAGATAGGCAAGAGCATCTGCTATCTGAGATATATAACTTGCTGCTTTATGTTCTGTAAAAGGCCCATCTTTTTGATGATGCTTATACAATTCTCCATTTTCGGTATATTCCAACACCAAAAATACGCGATGCTTATCGTGAAAGTAACCATATGACCATATAAGCGCAAGATATTGAGACGTCTCAAATGGAGACATCCCAATATCTTACGCTTATATGGACAATTTTCTTGTCTTTTCTCTTGCCGTATAAACCCGACCGAAACGCCCTCCACCAAGAGGGTTCCCCATTTCAAAATCATCTAAACGCCACACTCTAGCTCTTAAGAATTTGTTATTTCGTTGATTTGCCAGAGGCTTCATCATAAATTGATAATTCAGATTTTTGGCCGTGTTTAATAGAACTCGAGACTTTTCCAGATTTGACAGACTTCTGTTGATTATCTGGTTTATTTTTTTTGGAATTGAATTTTCCCAACAGACTTTACAGTAATGTTAACAACAGTTTTTGGCACTAGAGAAACGCGTTTTGCAGAACACTCAAATCCGGATTCAATTTTGAGTTTATCCATACGCTCTTCTAGTTTTAAGTTATAAGCTTTATTGTTTTCCTTGCCATGAAATTTCGCGTTTAATATTAAAGAGGTTTTGTTAACATTTCCTGTAAATTTGACAAGTCCGTTGTTAGGGCAATTATAAAAAGAATAAAAGTGAAAAGAAAAAAAATAATACTGTGAGTCTGTGATATATACAAAATTGATGCTATTATCACGTCATTTAATAGTTTTGGAATTTTGTGCTACATCGATAAATTTATAATACGTAATACGTAGATAAAAATCATAATCTACAAATGCTCAGATCAAATTATTATGTGAAATAGCCCAAGAAAATTTCCCGTGATTCCATTTTTGTGATGAGGATGAAAAGTAGTATTTACGAAATTTATCAGGGAATGTTAATACTTCCGGGACACAAACTTATTCACTTTGTAATTATCGATCAGTGGTACAAATGACATTAATGTGAATAGGTAAAATTAGAAAGTTTGTGTTGTATTTATTTATCAATAAAGTTACTTTACAAAAATTCTAATGTGCTCACAAGTAAACTTATCACAGAGTTCATTATACATGATAGTCTAATTGTTCTCCGTCGCTCAATTCTTCTATTTTTTTTTCTTGAACAATTTTAACGCATTAACTGCATTACAGCTGACCATCATCTAAAACAAAGTAATTTTTCTCGACCAGGAATCCAAATAAATGATTAGTGTTACGATTACCAGTACCATTGTGAATGGATCAGATTTCATTTGAGATCATGTGGGAGTTCCTTGGGACACAGTGCAACGTCCCTGTTGCTGTATTTTTTTACGATTTCGTATAACATTTTATCGTCTATTACCTGAAGCAAGAATCCATATTAGCAAAGTTCCTTCGCTCCTTCCTCGCAGATTCTTGCCAAATTTTTCCTTTCTTCTTCAGATATTGGTTTTGCTATTCTCTTTTTGGCGTTACGAACAAAATACAAATAATTCGTCGCGTACTATCCCGTTCCACTTCGATACCTTCAATGTCAGTTTTCACAGAATTGTTTCGTAATATGTTCGTAAACGATATAGGATCAACGAAATAAATATTCAGACTTCAGAGTATCCGAATCTTCATAATAAATAAGATTAAGAGTAAGGGGTAGTTTTCCTTCTATTACCCTCACATCGAATAAATGATACAGTAATGTCCTTAATATCCCATCTATGTCACTTATCATCATGGGTATAAGATACAAGGATATCATTAGTGGCATTATTACAATAATATATCCACCAGGGGTTGCTTTTACAAAATAAATTGCTAAATTATCGGTATCCTCATAATATCTGAAAACTATATCAGGCCTTTCAAAGCCATATTGTGGAGTCAATGAAAATAAACCTGTATGTATCATCAGTACATAAAATCATAGAGCCTTAAATATACACACAAAATTCAAATATTATCTTACCAATCTGCAAAGTTTTCGACATTAATGAGGCTGGATTGAACCTGTTGAATTATATGTTCTTGTTCGGTTGCTTATTTTACTACTAAGCTGAAATTTATAATAAAGTTAGAACCGCATGCGAAAAAATAAATATGAAAAAGAAATCCAAATTAAATGGTTCGGAGTCTGGACGAAGACTACTCACAAATATTCACAACTTTAGAATATGCGATGTGGAGTTTTCAGAACTAACTTCAAAAGATATTCTTGCCCCAATATCTTACCGGACCAGGTATAAAAGTTATTATAGTCCAAGGGTTAGTTGATGGATTTATAACCACACGAAGAAGTAGTTCGTTATCTTGAAACTTCTGTTGAATAATTACTCTCTCAGTCTTAGGATATGTGTTATCCCTAGTGGAATCACTATTTCTATACGAGATGAATTTTTCATGATTTCACCATAATCAATATATTCAGTAAAAAAATAAGTATATAGTGTACTATTCTTTATTAAATAAAATATAAATACAAAAATATTTATAATAATAAAAATAAAAATATTATCACTTATATTTTATATCATATACAATATATTATACCCATTTTTTTAAACTTCAGATGGATGAATATTTCATAGAATTCACGTTTCTTAAGATTTTTATATTAGAGAATTCGCGTGATTTTAAGGTTTTAATGTTAAATGATTTCATGAAATTTTTGAGATTCTAATATTTCCAATTGCTTCCTCAGACGTTGATTGTAATTGTTTTTTATTTGATTCGCTGTTCTTTTAGTTTTGAATGTGTCATTAATGATGGCAGCAATTCTTGCCCAACCATTATCAGTTTCACTTTGACGATATTTGAGGATTAAAGCTTCTTCTTCCTTTGATAATGGATGCTTATCAACTGGTTATAATTTATAAAGGTATAAGGTATTTTTGTAAATTTAAATCAAAAGGAAATATTTCAATTAATAATTTACTTACTGCCATCAAGATGACCGAAATACCTTTCACGACATTGCTTAGCATTGCGAGTTCCCATTTCTGCTGCTATATTTCTCCATTTTCTTTTATTATATTTTATTACCAAACTTATTAATTTTTCATCTTCCTATTATTAAAATATAAAAGAAAGATTAATTAATAATATTGACAATAATTAAAAAACATGAAGAATGTAAATTACTTCAGCTTTCCAGTGAATATGCTGACGATGAATTTTTTTCATTTTAGGCATTTTCTTTTTCTTTTTTTTTTATATTTTTTATAAAAAAAGTAAAAAAAAAAAGGAAAGAATAAAAGAAAAGAAATGAATAAAAAAAGATAATTTTATTAATTAATTACTTTTTGAAGCAGTAAACGTAGTAATATCTTTAAAAAGTGTGTGTAACTTTGGTGATTTTAGGTTATTCATTTTTAATAATAATAAAAGGAAATTAATTTTATAAATTACAATAAAAATGAACCGTTTTTTTTGGTTACAAAAATATGGCGTTTGTATTGATCCTGTAAAATATCAAATGCCAAGTACTGTGCCTGAAGTAACCATCTGATCAAAATATTTGAAGAAAGAAATAGTTAACCGCGTTTGCTGTCATTTAAATGATTAATCATTGCCATTAATGAGTTAATTAAGGATTGAAAAAACCAGTTTAAATACTGTATATATCAAATTTAACTTTTAAATTATTCCGCAATAAAAAATGGGATAATATTTTATTAACAAAAATTTATTATCATAAAAAAAAAATGGAATCATAAAGATTATTTTCTCTCTTTTACTAATTTTATCAATTCTTTAAGATTTTCTTCTACGGAACTAATCCTATTCGTTATATCATTTATCTTTTCTTCTAAATTATTTTGACAATCTTTCAACTTTTGTTTTTCTTTACTTTTACTTATTTTACCATCATTTACAAATAATTCTTCCTCTTCTATATTAGATATTGATGTATCCCCTCTATAATGATGTTTTTGATGTTTTTCATCAAAATCATCATCATCATCATCAATTTCATCAATATAATCATCATCATCATCAGTTTCGTCATCCTCAAATTTATGAAAACGATCTAATAATGATTTATGTGTTTTCTTATATTTTTCAGCTTTTGCTAACCATTCTTCTTGACTTTCCAAACTACCTACATAATAAATATATCTTGGATTTCCCCTTGTATTACCAAATGGTTTTTCTATCGCTTCATATTCTGCTATTAAATCTGCTCGAAATTTTAATACTGCTTGTTTAACATTAGATTTTGTTTCATCAAATACACCTCTTAAAGGAAAAAAAAAAAAAAAATGAATTCATAAATTTAAATTTACAAAAAAAGTTAAAAGAATTAGAAGAAAATTTATTATTACTTACGTCATAAATGCAATTAACATATTCTGCATAATAAAGACTAATAAAATACTTGCGACTATAAAATGAATGAACTATTATATAATATGTATATAACCGTATATTTTTCTATAAATTATAATAAAAATAAAACTTACTTATACTTAATACTGTTATTGGCCAAAAATTCCAGTTTTCCAATTGATCCCATCGACCAAGCATCCAAAAATATACTGCAATAATAGATTGTGGTAATTTACGATAATAATTATCACTTGTTGTATCGAGGTCGTAAGTTTGATGAATTTTAAATTTAAATGAAGAATCATCATCTGTTTCAAAAGTTTCTCCTGAAGGTTTTTCACTAATATAATCTGGATGTCTTAATAAAAAGTGCCTATTATTTTTAATAATAATAAATCAAATTAATTTTAAAATCTAAAAAAAAAAAATCATCCCAAAAATATAATAATCATAATTCGACTAATTTGACTCACATAGAATGTCCAAACCCAATGATCACAAGTAATATAAAAATTATAAATGTTGAAACTCCATATAATATGTTTACAATCATGTTAATGTAGTGAGCAGATTTTTCAAAAAATCTCATGAGGAGTATCAATTCAAACCAAAGTAATAAAATTACAAAAGTTATGGTTATTACCCTGGAGTTATCAGATAAATTAAGGGTTTTAAAAGTATAAAATGTTGTTAATGATATTATAGGAACTACACAGGCTAAAAAATCAACGATATGATAAACTGTAAAATATTTCCATCCATCATAACGTAATTGAATGATTTCTTTTGATAGTAGGTAATATCCAAGATAATAAAATATAAAATAATATAAATAAGAAATTTTTTCTTTATAATCAATAACTCCAGTGATGATACCAAACAAAACAGCATAAAGTATATATAATATAATATGTCGTATAAAGTGATTGCGTGCTGATTCCCATTTAAAATTTATACAAGCTTCCATTGCTGGATTATCGTATAATACTTCGTTCTCATCTTGTCTAATGAAACGTAGAAAAGAACTTCTCTGATGATCTTCTTGTAATGTATAGCCTCTCGGCTTTAATAATATTTTTGTGAGAAGAAAAGGAATTTTCCATTTAGGAGCTTTTTTATCAATACCTTCAGGGTAAACTGTGAAATCTGGAAGTGGGACTACACGTAAATTTGTTACTGGCAATTCTTCAGGTTTTCCTTCCTTGTTCCTAAGAGAAAGTTTCGAGTTGTAAAACTTTATTAAAAAGAAATATAATATATTTAAACACGAATTTATTTTATTACCTTTTAAAACTTGGACGAACGCTCTTTACTTTTTTCCACCAAGATTTCTGTTCTTGCTTCTGTATTAAACCTGGTTTAACATTTAACGCATAAACTGATCTATTGTATCCCCTTTTCAACTCCTTTTGATTAATAAATATAGGATCCAAATATTCTTCTTTCGCGCCAAAACATGGTTTATAAAACATTTCTTTGATATATATATCTATATATAAAAAATTATTTGTTAGTCTTAGTATTATGGCTTGGAATACTAAATAAATTCACTAACCTAAATTACGTTCCATTAACAAAGGAATAACTTTGCTAACGGTAAACATCCAACCCGTGTTTTGCATAGCATTATTTGAATAATATTCAAGTAACATCGCGACTATCTTACGATGCGCACCTATTAAAATATGAAAATGTTTAAAGAATTGGTAAAATTAGAAAAAAAAATTTTAATGTGTTTTAATTACCTTCCGAACTTTCAATTGCAATTTGCAAATCACTTTTCTTTATTGAACTTTTCAAATCGTGAAGCCTTGGAACATGTAAATTTCGACAAATGTAAATCGGACAATCTACATTATTTCTTAATGATGTGTTCTCGAAAAGAATACGTTTTATTAAATTAATTCGATGTCCACGAATAAGGTTAGCCATCAGATTAAAACGAATTTCCGACAATTTCCAAACATTCGGATATTTTTTAATAATATGAATAACAAGTTTTTCCGTATCATGAACCAAAGATTCGAATTTATTTTGATTTTTTGGACCAACTGGTTCATTCCTTCGATTATATAGAAATTCCAGAGCTTCACATGCTTCCTTCAAAGTATGTGTATTTTGTGGCCAATGAATATTTATTCCTAAAAAACTCATACTATTATGTTTAGATGGGATCTTTAAATCTAATGAAAATTCATGTTTTCCAATTGAAAGAGAATCAATGAGAATTCTTTGATTTCCTGGATTTGTCCATATATATTCTAAAACTCTTTTAGATTTTGCGTTACGATCTTTTTTACGCCATACTTGAACAGTTGATTCACCTATAATCAATTGAATTGATTTCTTTTCATCCAAATAAGCTGAAATTCGTCTATATTGTTTATAATGTACCCATGGTTCTTTGTTATTAACAACGATAGAACGATTATTTTCCTTTCTTGCATCCAACCATTTTCCATCTAATTGAAATATTATATGATAATATTTAAATTTATCCGTAGAATGGTCATAAATATTTTGAAATGAGAGTTTTAAGAGATTTTCCGAAACTCTCAAATGTCTATTCAATAATGCTTCAATAATAGGATTATGAAGAATAGAAAAAATTTTTTCATCATCAGTGACAGAAATAATTGTTCCACTTGAATTTGCAATTGAATAATTCGCACTTCCTTGTAACATTGGAAATATTTTTTTAATATCTATTTTATGAATATTACTTTTATAAGAGAAAAGATCCCAAATAATTATTACAGGAGCAAATTTAACTTTTCCATTTTCATGATAACCAATTTCTTCTTCAACTATAATAAATAATTCTTCATCATTATTAATAAATGATATTAATTTTATTCCATTAATATTATAAAAAGATTTTGTTGTTACTTCAAGTCCATTTTCCATTAAATAAATAGTAATACTATTATCACCATGACAATGAGCCAATAAAGTTCCATTTTTAGAAATCGCAAAGATTGCGTTTCCAATAGTTGAAGAAGTAATGATTTCTTCACGTTTCTGAAAAGTCATTTCTAATTCATAAGATTGTAAATTATACATTTCAACCCTATTGGTTTTATAATCTTCAGCGAAAAAATAATTTTTTTCAACACTTGAATTTAAAAATTTTTTACAAGAAACATCTTGATATAATTTTAATATATTAAATGCTACTATTGAAGGAAAGTAAAATTCTTCCGCATTTATTGTCTTGTTAAATAATCCTGATTTTGGAAGTGAAAAATTATCTTTATGATAAATTTTAGATTTTGTAATACCTAAAACGTTCATAATAATTAAGTTTGTGAATCCATTAGATTCATCTGATTCTGCTGTGGATGAATGATTTTCTAAGAAATGTAAAACTCCTCCAATATTATCAATTGTAGTTGGAATTTTTGATTTATTACGAGTTGAAATGACAAAAGTCATTGAGGGAGTAAAACCATCATTCCCTGTTTCTATGTCAATAACATTTTGTGTTCTTTTCAAATTATTCTCATCTGGTCCAGACATTATATCATTATCATTAAAACATGAAATCGCAATCAATACATCATTAGTTCCACGAATATTTATCGAGTTGGATATAGCCAAAGACCAATAAGGAGAAAGTAAATTCGATTCATTAAATTTGATTAAAGTAATACATTCATCTAAATCTTTTGATTCATATAATCTTATTTCATAGTTTTCTAAACAATTAAAAAATTTAATTTTTTCGATTTTTTTTTTTAAAAAAAAAAAAAAATTGGTTTTTTTTTTCGTACCGGTATTGAAAAAGGCAGCGAATCTTCCATCAGGGCTTAATGCCACGTGATTTTTTGAAACATCGTCTTGAATTTTTGATTCCCTGCTTTGAAAAGTGTATATCGAGGCTACTTCGTTAGTAATTTCAAGAAAATCAGTTTCTTTTTGCATAATTGGAGAAGTAAATTAGAGAGTAGTAATATTATAATCGTAACGGCGAATCTGTAATATATATATATATTATACAATGTATATATATATATATATATATGTATATATATATTTAGAAATTATTTTAAGACAAAAAACAAATCAAGGGGGAATTTACTAATTAAATGAACTTAACGTAGTACATTTGTTTTCTTTATGAAAGTCTGTTTGAAACGACTAAATTTTATTCTTTCATTATAAAATAAATTGACAAAAATATTTTTCATACAAAAATCCAAATTTTTAATTAATTTATTTGTTTTTTTCCTTTGTTAGTTCTTAGAAGAGTCAATCAGTGTCTCACCGCAATTTTATCTCCGTTTATTTTTCTTTTTTTGGAATTACATTACTTTATGTTTGCATGTTACACAAATTTAAACAATAAGAAATCAAATTTTATTCGTTGTTCAATAAAGAACTAAATATGATAAAATCTACACTATAAGCATATACATTATGATCGGAAAATATTTATTTAATCGGTTGTTAATTACTATATTCTCGATTATTCTCATTGCTATCGTCGCTTTTTAAAACGGGTTTGCTACATTTGAATTTCCCCCTTATATAATATGTCGCACAAAATACTCCGGAATCCGGATATTACTATGTAAGGCTGGACAGTATTTATTTATTTATATATTATTTATTTTTTTTATTTATTATTTATTTTGCAGTTGTTAGTAGTATATTGTAATAACGAGTAAGAACAATCGGAGCGGTGCATTATTTTATTTTACCTCATTTGTTCCGGAATTTATTCTGTAGATTTTATCTCGGAAAAATATTTTTGCGGTAAAAATCAAAGTTTTTTGTGGACATTTACTCCGGAAACCTGATAGACTTTCACCCGTTATTCCCTAACGTCTTAGTCAGTACTGAAGTAAACAAAGATTTTGCTTATTGTTATAAATATTTATAGTATCGGTAAATACTAGACGAAATATAAGTAATAATCAATCGCAAAACATCGAATTAACATAATTGCCAAAGTTAGTTCAACTTTCAAGAAAATTCCCTACTCCAAGTTAAAGGATGAATTAAATCATTTCCTTCCTTATCTGTTATTTTTAAAATTCTTCCAATTAATCTCATTGAGCTTCATATTCATATTTGTTCATATTCGCCTATTTTTAAATATTTAATTATTTACTTCAATTTTAACGATGCATTACTATAAATATTAAACAAAAATAAATTTCAAATATGGGGAACGATTTTCATCATTATCTATCTGATCTGAGTAATGTTTTCATGATCATCTGATTGTTATTCCATCAGGTCAAAATGTTCAAAGTCTACTGATAGATAATATGTATTTGATATTATTCTAATATATCAGAATATAATTATAATTGGTATATATTCTTTTAAAAAAACGAATAGTTTTGTTTTTTTATTCATAATAAAAATTTTATTTATTCGAAAAAGGCGAAATAGATAGTTCAGCCCTCTTTTTTTTCAAGATTTGTTTGCGTACCTAGCCCAGCACGGCTATAATTCTGGGCATACATTAATGAAAAAATATCAACCAATAAAAATCAATGACAGTACGACGACCGTATACTCACTCATTATATTCTCATAAATTCGACTAGCTATATCGATCAGTTAAAAGTCTAAATAGGGCCAATTATAATGAAGGCATATACGAAAAAGTATATTATTTTGAAAAGTCGTACGAAAAAAAGCGGTAAAAGTCTTATGTTAAAATAGAGTACCATCAAATATAAGTAAAATTTAAGTTCACGTAAATTTTCTAGTAAAAGCTGTATATTTTTAAGTGTAAAACCAATAAATTTATCAAAAATTATTTATATAAAATTGCCATTGATTACTTTAAAAAATGTATGGGTCGTACGTGCAATTCGATGTCGGACAAAATCTCGACATCCATTTTCCCGACAGGACGTTTGCCCGACACAGTTGACCTACATTAGTTTTAATGCTGATCAAAGTTGTCGGGAAAATGTCCTGTCGGGAAATCGTCTGTCGGGAATTATTATATGCCAATACTATACTACAGCAGCGATGTGCACTGGAACATTGGAAGCTATTGGAAACTTCCAATTCTTCCAAATTCCAATCTTCAAATACCATAGATATTATATGTAAAGATAATATGAATAAAAAATTATTGGAATATTGGAAAGGATTGGAATTGGAAGGATTGGAAGGTCCAATTCCGATAAAAAATCATTGGAAGCCTTCCAAGCACATCACTAAATACTAGCACAAAATGAACAATAAAAGATCTTGAACAACTTTTAATCATTAACAGACATTAATAGGTTTCTTTCTGCAATTCCACCTCCTAATATTCATTCTGTTCAAGTTTATGTTTCAAATACTCTATTACTTTTAATTCTCTCTTCCAAAATTAATAATACTGCTGAAAAAATCTTTCATTTACAATATCCATAATCTATAAATTTTTTCAGTTATAGATAAATTTCAATCACAAAGTCAATAAATCATGCTGAATAAATTTAATATGAAATAAAGTTTTTGACTTATTTGCTAAATAGTATCAAATATGATAAAAGAAATTTGTATATGTTGTGCCTCAGATTGATTCTTGCCTCGGCTGACAGCTGACGCACCTCAGATTAAAATTGTCACCTGACGCGCCTCACTTTACAATAAAAAATTGATTATAATTAAGCATTAAATTTTCTAATCTAATGTACATTTGATTATTAATAAAACTTATTTGCTGTATTTTCAAATATTCAATCCTAAAATTTTAGATCAATTGGATTCATGCTTGCTTTTGAAATCTTCATTTAAAAATGTGTTTATAATGCAAATTTTCCAAATAATACTCGCATTGTATATTTAATAGGAATTAAAATTGTATAAAAATTTCAGATTATGTGTAAATTATTGTGACAAATAGGTTTAGTTATAACACGAAGGCAATTTAATTAATAGAAAAAAAGTTTATTTATAGTAGACTAAATTTATACGATTTAAATGAAGTGCGTCAGCTGTCAGCTGTCGATCTGAGGCACACATATATATAAAGGTCATCTGATATTTATGATGTAACGCTGGCCAGTATTTTATTGGATTTTAATTCTGGCTAAAAGTACATATGGTGACCATCACCACTAGTGAGCTTTAGTAATACCCTATTTAAATAACTAAAATTATGTATATTTCCTTGGATTTTTAATTAGTACATTGGATGTGACCTCTATTATAATTATCCGGGATCCTGTTTAAATTAAACGATAATATGCATTATGCATTATCAGTTATCCTCATAAGTTCAGTTAAAGCAGATTTTACATAATTGTTATTTTGGTCGGTTACTATTTATCCCATCGGTATTATGTATACACCGTATACACCGATGGATTTTTTTGTAAATTACTTCACCGGTATAAAAAAAGTACAAAAAAGTATAAAATCCATCGTTGTATACAATGAGATAAGCATGGGTATCTAATAAATACTCCATATACACATATATACCGATGCTCTTCAGGGGGGCCAGACATCGGTGCAGTTATTCATTGATACCCAATAACAAGTATGTACTGTATTAACATAATAATAAAATTATTGGGAGTTTATTATAAAAATTGCATGAACGGTCCCGTCAAACTGATAATATTATTATTAGATATTACCACATATGTAAATATATAATTAATCCTAAAAATTTCAATACAGCGTTTGTAGAAATCACCTACATATTTATTTACCTATCATGCACTTGAAATGTCATAACGTCAGAACTAGAATTATTGAGGCGCGAAATTGAGACAGACTATGAAACAGAATGCCGAGCTTAAAAAGTTTAGGATTCGCAGAGTGATAAAGAACCTATATTATGATATCGAACAAATATTTTTGCTATATTATTAAAAAGGACCCTTTGCTAATCCTTATATGGATAAGCATCATATTTGATATTATGAAATGAGATCATACTAACTTCATAAAGATGAATTCCGAAATTTGATTTTTGGGATCGCTAAAAATCGCAAGAAGGAGCAATATTGGTCGATTTTTTATATGTCTTGCACAAATCAAATGAAATACAGTAAAACGAAAAATCTACAACTACAGTCTACTCGCTTTATAACGAAGTGAATGGTTTAGCAAATCAAGTCTTCGTTATAAGTATAACTCGGGAAAATTTTGTATGTTGCGGTAAATTGTATAATACTTGTATTATGGATAACGCATATATCTTCGTTATTGAATAAAAATTCGGTATGAACAAAAATTCGTTATAATAATTTTATATACACTGGTTATAGACTTACTTTGTTAAACGGTGTACAGCATTTTACTAGTAATATTCGGTATAACGAGAATGTTTTTATATGATAAAATTTGTACAACACCAAAGGTTCGCTATTTTAAGAAATTCGTTAAATCAAATTCGTTGTAAAATGAGTGGACTGTATCAAATTATTTATGTATGAGATAATTCATATAATGATAATTACTTTTTATATTGTGACTGGAACTTTTATCACGTTCCAACTTACTGGGCCTGGATGCATTATAGATTAGATAGAAAATTTGTTAATATAATTAACAATTGTATTTGTAGTCAATTCTTTTCTACCCCTATGCAATTACAGGCCAAGAATTTTTAGCCGTTGTATGGGCAGTTTCAACATTTCCAACATTATAAAACCTTTTACTATTGTAACCGATCATGTTGCATTGAAATGGCCCCAAACATCAAAATTCCAAAAGGAAGGAGGTAATACATAACTATCTAATCGGGATAGTTCATTTATATAATTGTCCTTGTTATAGAATTTTGAGGTCATCATCCCCAGCATGTGAATAATTGGCACGGGTCCTCTCCTGAGTTTCAAAATGGAGTTTGGAGCAGCATAGCAAGCGCCAAAACAAAACATTGAAAATTTATATCTTGCGTCATATGACATAATATCACGAAAATAATGTAATAAACAAATTCAAAACTTTCTATGAGGAATTGAGCTGAAAGATAAGTTCTCAATACCAAGGTATTAGAATAGCATTAATAATAAGCAAATAAGTAAGAAATGGAAAATGTTAATTTTTGCTTTAGTTCGAAAAATAAAATGATTTTTTTTTTTTGCGGATTTTNTAAAAAAAAAAAAAAAATATGACGCATTAAATCGCCAAGTCCTAATATGTTAGGTAAGTGATATTATTTCGATTGTTTCCTATTTTTAAATTTAGAAAATCTTTATAGAAGGTTTTTTGAGATTAATTTACATCAAATTTAACATAACACAAATATTCAGTTTCAAGTTAATAAAAATGAATAGTTATCAAAATAAAAGGTGACTAATAAATAATGAAACCGGGTATATGTTTTTATGAATATGAGTACCAGTACGGTGTTTGTCAAAAATATATAAAATATCGGGCTGTTAATTGTACATGTGTTCGTCAATTCCGATTAATATTCTTATAAGTATTTTAATTTCTCATCTCATTTATGATTGGTTAGCTAATATTTTAAAGTTTATTAACCGATCCAATTGTGTAAAGTTACCAAACACTTACCAGTTTTAATATATTAATTCGGTGCATTATATGTTTTGCTACACCAATCATTACTAGTAAATGGGGTCATGAGGGTTTAAGCACTAAAGATTTACGGAGGCATCCAATAAAATTATAGTCATTAATACATTAAAAATAATACTCAAATATGGAATTACGAGGAAAATAAGCCACAAAATAGATTAAATATTTATATGGTAACTTTATTATATTACAAAATGTAAATATGTAAACAATAATTTTTTGTTGATCGTCTCCTATAAATATGAGAATATTAAAATAAAATTTTTGAAATTTTTTTTTTTTTTTTTTTTTTTTTTATTTTATTATTTTGAAATAGTTTCTGTTTGTTTAGTCCTAGGAATAGTAAGTGTCGATTTTTAATTTAATTAAATATTTCTTAAAAAAAAAATGATGACGATGAGAAGTAATTGTAAAGAAAGCATGCGTTGTATATTATTTATTTATTTGTTATTACATTTGATAGTATTACCAGCATATGTTGCAGCAGCAGTGGAATATCGTTCGCTTGATGGTTCCAATAATAATATTGCAGAACCAAAAGCTGGAACTCCTAACGTTCCTTTTTTTCGTCAAAAACCACATGATGCAAACTATGCTGGGGATAACAGTGAAATGGTTTCTTCTCCAGGAAATTACAATTACAACCCCAATGAAGTAGTTCCAAAATGTAAGGACTTAATACCAAAAGGAATGTTTCCTTTACCAAGATGTATTAGTGATGTATTAGACGGTTACCAGACAACAGCAAAAGATGCATTCTCTTGGGATTTTATTGACTCATTTAAATCAAAAAGAAAAGTTTCTCACATGGTATGCACTTCTTACGTGAATCTATAATTTTCTGGAGGATCTTCATTAATAGAAAACATTTTGGTTTACTAGATAACATTTTGGGGACAATTTATGGCCTTTGACATTGCATCATCTCAATTTACAGGAGAAAATTTGCCTACTGGAATTATCATTCCAAGCGACGATGCTGAATATTTATCTAGTATATCGGGAACGACAGCTCCTCTTAATGAAGTAAGATAATCACGTGTCTATGGTGTATTGGTTTTTTAGGTATACTGCGCCATGTCCGTCAATATTAATTATCATCCTTTAGAATGCCTTAGCATTTAATCGATCAAATCCAAAATCTCGCCAAGGTACTAATGGAGCAACCTCATTTGTCGACGCGAGCACTATTTATGGAATCGATCAAACTAAACTTGAACAAGAATTGCGCGATTTTGGTAATAGAGGAAAATTAAAATTGCGATACACGGATACTCCGGATGGTCAATTTGGGTATCCACCAACAGGTAACATAAAATAGTACTTTTATTAAATTCAAAAAATAACGAATAATAATTATTTCTTCTATAAATTGTAGATGCAAATGGGGATTATATTTTAGGATTTGCGCCAAAACGAAGTGCAAATTTGTTTACGCATATGATTCATACTATATTTCTTAGAGAACATAATCGTCGATGTGATGAATTGTATGCAATACATCAAGATGAATGGGATGATGAAATGTATTTTCAAGAAGCAAGAAGATGGGTTATTGCTCTTATTCAAAAGATAACATACAGAGAATATCGTAAGTGAAAGCATTCATCTTATCCCAGAAATTTTAATTATAACGCAAACGCAATATCATATTTTTATAGTTAGTATCATTTTGGGAGCCCCTCTTTTGCCATATACCAAATATAATCCGGATCTCGTTCCAGGTAAAATTTTATATGTATTATTTGATTTATTATTCTAACAAAAATTTTATTCACAAACCATAATAAATAATATTAAAAAGGTTTAGAAACCTTTTTCACGACTGTAACAATGAAATATGGACATTCTGAAGTCAGGTACAAATTATCTTTTATTATATTTTTTTTTTATATTAAAAAGTTATTATCTTTTTTATAAATTTTTTTTTTTATTAGTGACTTTTACACAATTGTCGATAACGACGGACAAGTATTGAACACGCTACCATTAAGCGCAATTCAAACACCACTCCTGATGGAGAGTTTTAATATTCCTGTTATAGCTTCATCACTTTCTTTACAAAGGTAAATATACGGTAATATTTTCTAATTTACTATCTCAATATTTATAACATCACATGATTTGTTTTATTATAAAGACAAGAGGAAGTAGACATCTTTTATACTGAAATGATGAGAGGCTTCAGATTTCCTACCGGTGATATTAATGATATTGCTAGTATCGACCATCTTCGTGTTCGTGATCGAGGAATTCCTTTGTATAATGATGTTAGAGATGCTTATGGGTTACCACGCGTTGAAAAGTTTTCAGATATTACAAACAATACAGTAGCTCAAGCGCGTCTACAAGAAACTTACTCAACTGTAGATTCTGTTGAAGCATTGGTTGGAGCTCTTGCTGAAGATCATCTTGTGGGTTCAAATTTTGGACCCTTGATACTTGCAAGCATGAAAGAACAGGTATATTAATTTTTTTAAAAAATCGAGTGAATATTATTTCGTTTACATTTTTATTTTATTTTATGTTAGTGGGGATTGATTCGCGATTCTGATAGATTTTGGTATGAATCTCCGGGAAGTGGATTTACCATCAGTGAAATCAATCAGATTAATAATATCACATGGCGTGATGTTCTTACAAAAAATGTTCCCGCTAGTTTCTCAATTCCTGGAAATCTTTGGTTTGTTCAACCGGTATCGACATTTGGAACCACAAACATCATTGATAATCCAGCTCCGGATTATCCAAGATTAAATTTCTTAAGATTTAGCGATGTTTATGAAATTCGATGGAAAATTGATGGGGATAATATCCAATTCCTTCTTACTATGCTAAGTAACAATGCATGGTTTGGTTTAGGATTTAATTCAGATGGTATTGCATATTTTACAAATTTTTCTAAACTCTCGAATCATCAGACCTTATCTAAAAAAAAAAATGATTTAATTTATTAAGACAATGGCATGATAGGTGCCGATATAGTGTTGGCACGAACGGTTGACTCTGCAAACATAGAAATAGCTAATTATAAGTCTGCTGGATATCAACCACCAGTTAAAGATGAAAAAAACCAGTTTATTAAGTTAATAAGATTTAATGTCTCAAGTGTTTCCACGCAAGTTGAATTCAGTCGTCCATTAGCTGCCCCGGACAGAAGGCCTATTACCAATAATCCTACAACATGTAAGTAATTTCTGAATAATTTTCTTCTAATTCATAAATTTTTTCTTATATTTCTTATCATTAAATTAGTGATTTACGCTTGGAACCCTGGTAGCAATGGACTTTCATATCATGGAGGTAATCGTGGAAGTTTGAAAATCAATTTCTTTTCTTCAACAATTGCACAATCTGCTGAAACTAAAAACAAGTTAACAAGATTGTTGCATGGTTTAGCGATGTTTGTGACTTGGAGGTTTGTTTTTTGATTTATATTTGATTTCTCTTTTTATTTAATCTTATTTAATCTTTATATTGATTTACTTTTATTTTACATGACGTATCTAGTGTTCTATTTCCATGTAAGAATAATTAATATATATGTTCTTTTTAAAAAGAGATGAATTTTGATTGACAATCTCCTCTGATTTCTAAATTTCATAGTATCAGTTTTTATCGTTCGTTACTGGAAACATGTTGATACATATTTATTTCAACATCGAAACATGCAAATTGTTGGTGGAGTTTCCGTGTCAACTTTCGGAGCTGCGGCAATGGCAACTGCAGATTATCAAAAAAGATCAATCCATGGATTGTATGGTTCATTATAAATAATTATTAAAAAATTCTTCAAAATGTGTTCTTAATTAAATAAATTATATTTTAGGGTTGGCATATCAATTTATACAATCGTATTCGCTCAAATTGGATTAGGCTTTATAGCTATTTGGGGTCTCGCTCACCTTGAATCGGCCAACCGCGGTATAATGCGTGGAATCAGGATGGCGCACTTTATATTAGGATCTTCGTTGATCATTGTCGCTTGGTAAACAAATTTTCATTTGTGCATATATATTTTTAATTTGAAAAAAAGGAATTAATTTTATTTTATTAGGGTTAATATTTATCTCGGAATTATCCAGTTTGGTGGAAATATGATGTGGAGAATCGCGTATTTAATATGGATAGGTTTGTATTATTTAATTGTTATTAAAATTAGATACATATTAACATATATTTTTATAGGTTTTACGTTAATAGCATTTATTGGAGGGGAATATTGGTATAATTTTAGAAATGGAAATTACTTTTATCGCAAAAGTGATCTTGAAACCAAACAAAAACGCATTCATGAGAAAATTCCCGCTGATGTTTATGAAAGATTGCCAGTCGTCACCTGGGATGTAAGTCTTATATGAGATTTAATTTTAAATATCTATTGATAAAATAAAAACTAATTATAGATATATATATTTTAGGATGTTAATACAAGAATTGCAAGTGGTGCTCAATTAGTTGTTGCTGAAGGATTATTATTTGATATTCGAAAATGGGTAAACTAATTTTCTTTAACAAAAAATTTATTTATTTACTATTTATTTATTTGATTTTTATGTCTTTTTTAGATAAGAATTCACCCTGGAGGTGCAAAAATTTTACACCGTGTTATTGGAACTGATATTACCAACGATTTTTTCTTAGATACTTCAGATCAGTCAAAGTTTACATTTGATCAAAAAGATAGTGAAAACCGCCATTCAATGATTCAATATAATACACTTAAAAAATATGATGACACATCTAGTTTTGATGATTCTAAGCAAAAGAAAGCAGTACTAAAGAGACGTTCAATAGCAAACGTTTTTGATGTAATTAATAGTTCATCATTTAAAAATTCTAGAGTGGCAACACATCACCATTCAACGTTTGCGACAACAAAATTAGCATCTATGGTAATAGCTAAAGTAAATGAATATTCTGATGATTTACACAAAATTCAACAAGTTGAAAGTGAACATAATCCGCATGTTTTTAAAAGATATATATTGGTTAATAAGGAAATTGTATCAAGAAGTGATGCTCGAAGACCCGTAATTAAACTTACATTTCAAGTTATTAATTATGAACAATTACCAGAATTCTTGCCAGGAGATTATATTGAAATTTTATGTCATATTAAAGGGCAAGTACTATTACGATCTTATACACCACTTCAATCTGATAAAGAAAAATGTTTCTCGATTATAATTAGAGTTTATGAAGAAGGACTAATGTCTAGACATTTAGTAAGTATGATATATTTAAAAAAAAAAAAAAACTTTATTATCACATTATTAAACAAAAATTTACATTTTTTTATTTCAATTTTCAAGATGAAACAATTAGTTGGATTTGAAATTAAAGTCCGTGGTCCATTTGATATTAGTAACCAAATATCTCCAGTTCTTAGTCCTTCAAGTCCTAATTCTTCAAATCTTAGTCCTTCAAACCTTAATCCTTCACATTTAAGTAGATATTTAAGTAGATATTATGAGCCATCTCCAAGACATATATTATTGAATTCCTTATCAAATGATAAATGTTGGGATGTATTATTTATGATTGCAGGAGGAACTGGAATAACTCCTATGTTACAACTAGTAAGTTTAATAGACATAAAAGTTTTTTTATTACCGAGCTATAAATAATTCTAATTCATTATTTATTATAGATAAAATACCATTTAAATTACCTAAATCAATCACCTAATAGAAACTTCAAATTGTTTTTACTATTTGCAAATGAAACAATCTCGGATATATTTTATTTTAAATATTTAGAACATCTAGTAGCAGCAAGTAATGGAAAATTAAAAATAACATATATACTTACACGACCACCATCAAATTGGGAAGAATTAAGCGGACATATAAATGAAGATATATTATGTAAATGGCTTTCAAATAATTATATACCAGATGGTTTAGATCAAGTTACTGAAAATGAAAATTCTACATATTATATGAAAAGATATATGCAAGCTTTAATACAAGATTCCAAACATACTATTAAACTAATTACATGTGGGCCTCCTTTAATGATTGATTCCATTGAAGAATCTTTAAATAATATTGGATTTCCTATTAATGATAAAGCCATTTTTATTAGATAATAATACTTATAAAATTTATGTATTAAGTTTAATTTTATAATTTAATTTGCATTAATATTTTTAAAATATATATTATTATTATTAAATTTAATTTTATATTGATATTGCTTGAAAATTTGTATTTTAAATATTCTGTAAAAAATATAGTTTTGCAATGAAGCTATTTTTGATAGAAAATTTCTATAATATATTTCACACACTTCTATAGGACCCAGAAATATATATATAAGGGTCAGGTGGCGAAAAATTTTTTTACTATGAGCTGTAACGCAGAGATTTAGTACGCATAATTGACACCTGATATTGAAAAACCTACAAAAATACACATAAAAAATTTTAGACATTAAGTTATTAATTATTTTATCATGGCTTCTCTATTATTTATAAACTCAAATACTAATATGAAAAAATAGAATTTACCATTTTTCAATAATATTTTTCTAAAATTTCACTTTTTTTAATCATTAGAAATTTCTTTTAATTAATACTAAATATTACAATGCGTTTATTAAATAAGTACGTACAATAAAAATATTTTATATATAAGATTAGCCAAATTTAGGTCAAAAATACACAAACTAATTTTTTACATATAAAAATTTTGATAAAAAATATGCAATCTTGATGACTTAACTATAGATGAAAATTCTAAAATTGTATGCAAATCAAACTTTACTCTGTCTAATTCCACTATGATAGCGATGCATCTGTATACTCTACCCCTGTATATATATTTCTGGGTCTTACTTCTATTATATTTTTATTATAAATACTTTGTTTATAAAATTTTAGAATATATATATATAGATTATATTTAGAGATGCTGGGCGAAACTGAAATATTTAGTCATTTGACGAAATCGAAATAGTTTAGACATTTAAAATTAAAAGACGAAATGCCAAAATTTAATATTCCATGGTATTTCTATGGATTTTTCATAAATTTCCATGGATTTTTAATTATAATAATTATTTAAAAAAATAAATTTTTATTAAAATATAATATTTTTTAAAAAGAATTTATAAAACCATTATAAATATAATTAATTTTATATATTTTAATAATAAAACTATAATTTTATATAATTAAAATTAAAATTAAAAATTATTATTATATAGTTTAGTCAATGACGAAACCAAAACTAGTTGGTGACGAAACTGAAATTTTTTGCAAAAAGAGTTTAGGCAGGCATCATTAATTATATTAATATAAAATCATATTTTTAGTTAAAATTATAATATTTTTAATAAATTGATTAATTGATATTTTTTTTGTTATTTTTATAAATTCTTTTTACTATTTATTATTTTAAATATTAAAAATTTTAAGTATTACTAAATATTATTGCTGAATGCTGATAATTGTTATAAAACTTTATCCATTAATATTTGCTAATAGTCTAATACTAATGCAATAAAAACATCTGCAGTAAGGTCCAAAAAATTTTATTTTATTTTATTTTATTTTATTTGCCTGCAGCACATTTAATACTTTATTAAGATAAAATAATAAAACTATACAATATACATGTAAAACTATATAAAATCCTAATTTATTAAGTACTAAATTACTTATCATTACCCCATATAGTATATGTATTGTCAGATGAAAACTCTAGCTAGAGAAGTAAGCCTTATATGAAACAAATTTTTCTTAAAAATCATTTTTTAAAAAAGTTTCAAAATTTAATTACAAAACTTATCTGGAATATCAGCGTTCATGTTGGAGCTGATTTTTCTATACAAAAATAAAAAAATGTTTTATTAAAAATATTTTTAAAGAAAGTTTAAAACTTAGTTTCAAAATTTACCTGAAATATTGATGTTCAAAATGATTTATTAAAAATATTTTATTAAAGAAAGTTTCAAAATTTTTTTTTAAAACTTTACCTAGAATATTAATATTCATGTCAGAACTGAATTCCTGTATAAAAAATAATAAAAAAAATATTTTTTTATTAAAAACATTTTATTAAAGAAGTTTCAAAATTTTAGTTTTAAAACTTTACTTGGAATATTAATATTCATATTGAAATCGAATTCTTAAATAAAAATAATAAAAAAAACGTTTTTAATATTAAAAATATTTTATTAAAGAAAGTTTTAAAATTTTTTTTTGAAACTTTATCTAGAGAAACAGCATTCACGCTTGAACTAATTTCCTACCAAAATAAATAAAAAAACATTTTTTATTGTTTAAAAAATGTATTTTTTAAAGGGATAATTTTAACGCTCACCCCGGGTGAAAATCACCTGGTCATATGACATCGAATTTTACGTTTCAAAAAAAAATTAATTTATTTTTTAATATAATAAATAACATATGTATTATCAGTTATATAATTTACATTAATAAATCTCGTTTATAACAACAAATAATGTTTTTATTAGTATTTGAATTACATTAAGAATTACATCAAAAATATCTGTCGTTCTCCTCTCAGATTATAATTTTCTAATATAGAATTACAATACATAAAAATCTACGCTGCTCTCATATTAATTAAAGTAGTTATTAGTACAATAAAAAATCAAATAAAGAGTGCACTCTGGTATAAAACTATGGAAGTATAGTATAATACCTCTATATTTCCCATCCCTAGCATTTGGACACTTTTTCTGGTAATGACCAGGTTTTCCGCATAACAGACACCTGCGTTGACTCTTTGCCACTTGATAATTTGGATCATTCAGGTTTTCTTGCATCGGGACCCATTTTTTTGATAATTCCATAGCGCTCTTCAATCTTTTCTTTGAGGGAGCACCTCGTATTTTAGTAACATTAGGATTAGTAATCTGCCCAATTAAGTGCTGTTGTAAAGGAATAATTATATTGCTAGTATCTTATCTCGATTGATCTTCTGTATAATTATTCACTTCTAAATTATTATTAGTATAATCATTTCTTTCTGATTGTATTTCATGTTTGGCTGCAATAAAATATTTTAGTATCTTAATTAATTCTTCATCAGTTTTTGTTTACAAAGAAACATTTATAGCAGTTTTTGCTGTAGAAAATGCAAATCCAAATCGATTTCTTTTGGAATTATTTTGGCGCATGATTTCATTAGGTTGAATATGTTCTACTCCTTGAAAATAACGCAAACTTTGAAGTGTAAAGTTATTTTGAAATGGTAGCACTGATGATGTTAAAGTATCTACAGGTTCTATTGCAGAAAGAACTGGTGAATTTTCAAAACTGCAATCCAAATTAATTATGTTATCTTTGTACCATCTAGCAGGTATCATGCTGATATGAAATTTTGCCGAACTTGAATATAACATTACCCTCCAGAAATGGCGACAGATAATGCCTTTTGTAACTGTTTCCATGCAGGTACA